ACCAGACAAGAAAGAGACCTACCCACTGTGTCGTCAGCCCACATCAACACGAACCAGCTGCCCAGCTGAAGACAAAACCCACCACAGGGGACTGCCAGAGAAGGCCACTGTGTTAGGCAATGTCACCCTGACAGCTCACAGCCTCAGCTGGCTGGTGTGGTGAAGTCAGCAAGCTCACCAAGGCTGTTTTGTAAACAGCAACCCCTGTCACGGCGCGAGGAGACACGAGGGCCCCAAGGACGTCCGTGCTCTCACCAGATCCGTCCTCCAGGTCCCCGTCTGCGTCCTCCTCATCGCTGTGCTCGCTGCCCGAGTCGTCCTCAGAGGTGCCACTGTGGGCGTCACTGCTTCCTTCTACAGCAACAGGGAGAAACACAGGCCCGAGGAGCAGTGTCACAGCTGAAGCAGCAAAGAGCAGGGCTGAGGAGAGGATGTACAGGGTGTTCAGAGGACATCTGCCAATAGGGCTCCTGGCAGCACCCTGCCCCCAGGTCAGGGCAGTGAGGGAGAGGTGGGCAAGGTGGAAGCTTTTGCTGGATTTAAGGACATATTTGTATGGACTACATCAAAAATAAAGACCAAACAATGTGCTACTTGTGCACTTTAAGGGCAAAGCACGAATGCTCACTCCTCACTCTGGGCGGAGGGGCAGGGGGCGGCTCACCAGCATCACTGGCCAGGGCAGCAGGACGAACTCTTGGGTGGCCATCGGGCCCCGGGCTTTGGTCCACAAGCTCGTCCAGGCTGTCGTCATCCATCGCTGGACATGGGCTTTCAGCTCTGGAAGAAACCAGGGTCAAGTAAGTCCCCTCTGTCCCAGGCTTTGCATTAAGCTCCCCCCCAAGAGCGAGCGACAATCACTACACATCACCCTCCTGATGACACGTGTCCTCCCCCCAGCACCATAGGAGACAGAATTGGCTCAGAACTGTGCAGGCACACACAAGAGACTGGCTCCTGTCTACAGAGCCACATTCGCAGTCAGATGCCAACTTATAACAAACCCAATGTAGCCTCAGACCGGCCGTGTTCTTGTTCAGGCACCTGCCACACCTCAACACTCCCCGGGTACCCGAGGCCACGCTTGAGGGAAACAGCTTATCACAAGCTGAGGCAAAGCAGGGCTTTCAGCAGAGGATGGGCGCCAGAAGGTCCAGATGCCAAGCTGGCCCTCTGCCCACACTCCCATGGGATGCCCCCCTCAGCCATGGCTGGCCAGCCCAGCTCCGCACACCTGTCTCCCACGAGAGGCCACGGGCACCAGCTGGGGCTCCTCTGACCTGGCCCCGGCCCCTCCACAGAACATGGCCAAGTCACCTGCCTACCCAGGAGCAGCACAGGGCCGTGGGGAGCAGGGGTCAGGCTGCCATGTCCACCTGCTCCTGGGCTCCTGATCACCACCTGGGGGTGCTGAGCCTGCCTGCTCTGCAAGGCCACTGCCAGGGTAATGGCGAAGACCGAGCCCAGTGACCTCACAGACCTAAAGGGACACAAGCACCCTCCTGCACCAGGGCCTCTGACTCTGGTCTCCAAACTAGGGCTCCTTGCCCATCAGGGCTACTCACTTCCAGTGCCCCCGAGAGGAGACCCCTCCCTGTGGCACAGTGCGTTTCTGAGTCCAGTCTGCACATCTAAGGAGCAAGACTGGAGGAATGGAAGCAAAGCAAGAACCGGGGCAGGAGGGAAGGCGGACAGCAGCGAGCCCAGAAGCCAGGAAAGCCTCTCCTCCCGGATTCCGTGCAGGATTCTCCCCCGTGGGTCACACACCACACACTTCACGTGCATCAACTAGCACCCAGGGCAGGAGCTGTCGCTACCACTGCTGTACACATGCTCCCAAAGAATGGTCCCTGATGGGGCTGAGGCCAGGGCCACAGCCAGGGTGCCTCACATCCCAGACAAAGCCCCAGGCTCTGGAACAATGTCTTTTAAAACAGTGAGGGCATGTTAATTTCACTAAATCACCACCTGCCAAATGATGCGTCTATCTGGAAGTAGTCAACTGAAATTATGAACCCCCCTAAAGTCACCACCTTTTTTCTACCTAGTACCCTAAGGGTGAGAAAATCAGTCAGTGCTGCTCAACTAAGGGTCTGCACTCCCCTGCTTGCTAAGTCAGCAACATGGCAGGGACCTTCGCTATCTTCCACCTGAGCCCCGACCACAACCCCTTCTGGAGACGCACCGGCCATAGGACCAGACGGTGCCACTGTCCATCCAGGAGCACAGCACCCTCCTGTGCACATGGCGGTGGCAGGGCCACTGCAGGTAGAGGACCTACAAGCCTCAGGATGTACCTGCGACCAGACTCCACAGCGCCACCCTAGGACGCCTGCTCCTGTACCTACCCTGCCTGACTGCGTGCGGCGTGGGTCCTGCGCCAGGGATGCTCAGCCTAAGACGGGGGTCAGTGTTCACACCCAGGAAAGTACCAGGGCAAACTTCAGAAAATGTAACCCTCCAAGTAGACCACAGAGCATGCTCAGGGACGGTTCACTCGCACAAGATCAAAAGCACAAGGAACCTCTGGCTTCTCCCTCAGTAACTGAGACTGAGGCTTGCCTCAGAGCACTGTCAGAAGAGATCAGTGTGGCCACGATGGGGTCTGGTCCACGGGGACTTGCCAGGGACACCAGCTCTGGAGTGAGGCTGACTCCCCATGTCCCTGCACATGTGGGGTTTAGTCCCTCAAGCCCTGTGCTCAGCCATCACAGCCGGGGAGGACACTTTCCAAAGGCCGCCCAACACCCCTCTCCCTTCCCTGCGTGGTCACACATAGTACCTTCTGGCAGCACCCAGGAGAAGAGCCCGGGAGTCTCTGAAGGTACTTCCCAGACCAAGCAGCTGTGCAAACAGAGATCAACATTAGGGACCCCTGGGAGCCTGTTTCTCCATGAGGAACGCTACACTCAAAACACTGTGGGAATGTGACCCTGGCTCAGGACCTACTGGCCCCAGTGGCAGTCCCAGCTCAGATGTGCCTGCCCAGACCCACTATCCCCACCTCCGCTCGCATGTTCCAGACCAACGTCCAGGAAGCCTTTTCTGCAGGAGACACCACAGCCCCTCCCAGCTGCTGGCCACCTTGGGCAGTGCCAGCAGTGCTCTATAGCTTTCCTGCTCAGTCTCCAGACTTGGGGGAACCAGGGGAAAATTTAAACAAAAAGTAGTATTTCCCTCTATTTTCAAGTCCAGGGACTGAAAACACCTTTTATCCCAACTAAGGACCCAAAAGGCTTTCCGGTGTGGTCATTGGCAGCTGTGCCATGACAAGAACCTGGGTGCCTGTCCCCAGGCCCTGAGCAAGGGTGTTAGGTCCAATGGCTCAGGTCCAATGGGCTCGAATCTCATTTTTCATTCATCATCTGCCAGAGCGGCTACAAGACCTTGAAACTGTAAGCTGCAAAACAAGTCAAAAAGCGAGAGCCCACCACTACCCCCTCCCCCCCCCCCCCAAAAAAAATTAAGAGTCCAGTAAGGTCTTGGCAGGGTTGAGAGAGACACCAACAGTCCATCACAGTGGGCTGCTGGGAGAACCAAAGTCAGGCTGGCTCTGTCAGGGCCCTGACACCAGCCTGGTGCAAAAGGAGAACCAGCTATTGTCATTCTGACTCAACATTCTTTCCCTAAGGAAAAACACCAGTGGTTCAGGGAGAGGGAAGGCGTGCTAAAGCCCGAGTCAAACCTCACTTCAGCCTCAGGTTCTGTCCAAGTGACCAAGGGCCAAACAGTGGTTCACCAGGTGACTACTATTCTGTTGTTGCAGAAGCAAGAAGAGCATTTAAACGCCACAAAGTTGACAACGATGCAACACAATCCTTGTTACAAAGAAAAAAGAAATAAAAACCATGGGCCAGGAATCAGGGCTTAGGTTAACAACCGGCCCTGGCTCGGCATACAGCAGCTGTGTGACGCTGGCAAGTTACTTAACATCTCCAGACTCTAATCTACTTATCTGTAAAAACAGGAAGGCCAATACCTACTCCTGACAGACTGCTATGAAGACTACGTGAGTTAAGGAGCGGAAGACCATCCCAACAACCACACGGGCCTGTCGACACACAGACGAAAACAATAAAAGCAAAGAGGACGAGGACCTGGAGACGAGTTAGCAAAGGATCACACTCCGCTCTCAGAGCGGGGAGAGCGACAGCACAGGGGGCGGGTGCCACAGGACGAGGCGGAGGTCTCCTTGCTGCCCGGGAATCCGCCTGCAGGCCCCGGGCCGCCCGGACTCTGCGCGAGGCCTCCAGAGCCTGCAGGAGGCCGCCGCCACCCGTCAGCCCAGGGCCTGAGCAGCGCAGGCCTCGCACCGCTGGGCAGGCCTCAGACAAAGCGCGCGGCGCCCGGAGCGGCCCTCCGGCCGGGTCGCTCTAAAACCCGGGACACCGCGGCCCGCACGTACCCGGAACCGTGCGCCTCGCGGGCCGCTCCCCGACACTCGCCGCCGCTGCCGCAGCCGCCGCCACAGCAAGAGGCACAACTAGGCCCAGCCACCGCCGCCCGCCGCCGCGCGCCCCTTGACCCGGAAGTAAATGGAGCCGGCTTCCGGGGCTCTCCCGCCCCGCTTATTGGTGGGTACCATTGGGACGAGGGAGGGGAGGAAACGTCTTAGGTAGAGGAGAGCGCCGCTACCTGAGCTCAGCTATCTCGAGACCTTGGGAACACTGTTTAATGCGTTTTTGTAGTCCATACAGACCAGTCTGTTGGAAGAACTTGAAGAGTCTAAACCCCCGCCTGTGGGCTATCCGAGAGGTACTCCCCAGTCTGGAATGTGGTACAGTCCAATCCTTGCTCATCGCCCAGGGCGAATAGGAGCGGACGCCCGGCACACCTAGGGCCCCGCCCCCAGTCCGGGCCCCGCCCCGCTCGGTGGCTCCGCCCACACACACTCCCCCCGCCCCTCACTCCCATCTCTCAGACCCCGAGAGCGCGAGCCGAGGAGAGCTTGCCCGGGTCTTCCTGGCGCCCCCCCGGCCGAGCAGCTTTGGGCCGTCCGTTCACGCCACCGAACACTTGCGGACCCTGTGCGCGGGCTCCGCCAGGTGCTGGGCAAGGACGAGTCCCCAGCCCAGAATCCCGCCGGGGCCGCACGCAGTAAACAGTGAAGCATGTGGATGGTGCGCCGCTCGGTGTGTGAGAAACTGATTCGTGCTCTGACAGAAGAGCCGAGTCCCGGACTCGGGAGCCAGGAGGACTCGCCGGTGGTAGTTAGTGGGTGAGGAGGGACCTGGCCGAGAGGTGCTGGCGGAAGGGGCAGCTGTGGGGAGCGCGCGGGCAGTTGCCAGGACCTCAGAAGAGCGGAACCCCACTGGCTGGGTGGGGGACTGAGGCTGGCTTCTAAGAGCTCCGGGCGGCGGCGGCGGCGGGTGAACTGGGTGGGGCGGGCCGCCGACCAGTAAGAAGGCAACTTCAGTAACCCTGCAGCCCTCAGGGCCCACAGAGATGTAGGCTCCGTTGGGGGAAGCGAAGGTGCAGGAAGTGATCCCCTTCTGGTAGGTTATGAAGGCAGAACCTAAGGGATAAAAGATAGTCAACATCACACCTTGTTAGAAGAATGCACGTCAAAACTACAAAGGGGGAAAAAACTACAAAGGAGTATCACCTCACACTGGTCAGAATGGCTTTCATCAGAAAATCTACAAACAATAAATGCTGGAAAGGGTGTGGAAAAAAGGGAACCCTCTTGCACTGCTGGTGGGAAGGTAAATTGACACTGCCACTATGGAGAACAGTGTGGCAATTCCTTTAAAAACTAGGAATAAAACTACCATATGACACAACAACCCCACTACTGGGCATATACCCTGAAGAAACCATAACTGAAAAAGACACATGTACCCTAATATTCATTCCAATGCTATTTAGGAGGCTAGGACATGGAAGCAACCTAGATATCCATTGACAGATGAATGGATAAAAAAAGTGGTCCATATGTATACAGTGGAATATTACTCAGCCTTAATGCATCTGAGTCAGTACTAATGAGGTGGATGAACCTAGAGCCTATTATGCAGAATTGAAGTAAGTCAGAAAGAGAAAGATAAATATCATCTATTAATGCATACCCATGGACTATAGAAGGATGGTACTGATGAATCTATTTGCAGGGCAGCAAAGGAGACGCAGACGTAACAGACACGGGTGGGGGAGAACAGGGTGGGACCAACTGAGAGAGTAGCTTTGAAACATGTGCATTATCGTATGTGAAATAGATAGCCTGTGGGTATTTGCTGTGTGTACACAGAGCTCAGATCCAATGCTCTGTGGCAACCTAGAGAGGTGGGGGTGGGATGGGACGGGGTGGGAGGAGAGAGGTTCAAGAGAGAAGGGGCATATGTATGCCTATGGCTGATTCACGTTATGTATGGCAGAAACCAACACAGTATTGTAAAGTAATTACTTTCCAACTAAAAATTAATTTTTTTAATTAAAAAAAAACTGAGGTTGGGTTAGCTGAGGGGTTGGATGTGAGATGCCAGGTAAAAAGAGAAACCAAGGAGGGTTCCTGGAAGTGTTGGGGGTGGGGGAGCAGCACATCAAGTGGGATGCCTGGGTGGAGCAAGGTGGAAGTCACCAGTGACCCAGAGGTTACCAGTGCTGGGGGGCAGCTGGAGGGGCTCAAGGAGAAGCCAAGCCGACTGATCATCACCAGGGAGCACCAAGCAGGGAAACAAAAGTGGAGCAGTGGAGGAGGAGCCCACTGAGAGAGGGTTGTTTTGTTTTTCTGTTTATGGGAAAAATAACCCATGTGTTTACAGGCTCTGGAAAGGACTTTGCAGAGAGGAAGAATGAATGGTGCCAGAAAGGTGAGGGCCTCTGGAGCGAATCTTCTCTGTGGGAGTGTGTGTGTGTGTGGGGGGGGGGGAGTGTGTGTGTGTGTGGGAGTGTGTGTGTGTGGGAGTGTGTGTGTGTGTGTGTGAGTGTGTGTGGGGGGGAAATGTGTGTGTGGGAGTGTGAGTGTGTGTGTGGGGGAATGTGTGTGTGTGAGTGTGTGGGGGGGAATGTGTGTGTGGGAGTGTGTGTGGGGGAATGTGTGTGTGGGAGTGTGTGTGGGGGAATGTGTGTGGGGGGGAATGTGTGTGTGGGAATGTGTGTGTGGGAGTGTGAGTGTGTGTGTGGGGGGGGAGTGTATGGGGGAGTGTGTATGTGTGTGTGTATATGTGTGTGTATGTGGGGGGAGCGTGTGTGTGTGGGGGGGGGAGTGTGTATGTGTGGGGGGAAGTGTGTGTGTGAGTGTGTGGGGGAGTGTGTGTGTGGGGAATGTGTGTGTGTGTGTGGGGGGGAGTGTGTATATGTGTGTGTATATGTGTGTGTGGGGGGGAGTGTGTGTGTGTGTATGTGGCAGTGTGTGTGTATGTGGGGGGGAGTGTGTGTGTGTGGGGGGGAGTGTGTGTGGGGGGAATGTGTGTGTGTGTGAGTGTGTGTGTGAGTGTGTGTGGGGGAGTGTGTATATGTGTGTGTATATGTGTGTGTGGGGGGGAAGTGTGTGTGTGTGTGAGTATGTGGCAGTGTGTGTGTATGTGGGGGGGAGTGTGTATGTGTGTGTGGGGGGGAGTGTGTGTGTGGGGAATGTGTGTGTGTGAGTGTGTGTGGAGGAGTGTGTATGTGTGTGTGTATATGTGTGTGTGTGGGGGGGAGTGTGTATGTGTGGGGGGGAGTGTGTATATGTGTGTGTGTGCCTGGCACAACACAGTACCTCTTGGGTGTCACCCCAGCCATGTGCCCAAACACAGGACACTTTTTAAAAGTTAGTTCTTTATTGATGGTCGTGCGGGGTCTTTGTTGCTGCACGTGGGCATTCTCTAGCTGCGGCGAGTGGGGCTGCTCGTGGTTGTGATAGGCAGGCTTTTCATTAGAGTGGCTTCTCTTGGAGAACACAGACTCTAGAGCCTTCTGGCTTCAGTAGTTGTGGCTCCTGGACTCTAGAGCACAGACTTAGTATTGTGGTGCATGAACTTAGTTGGTCCTCAGCACATGGGATCTTCCCAGACTAGGAATTGAACCCATGACCCCTGCATTGGCAGGTGGATTCTTTACCACTGAGCCACCAGGGAAGCCCCAGGATACTTTGGCTCTCTGTTTAAGTATGGATGGCATGACTTTGGGAGAGTTTCTCAACCCCTCTGTGCCTCTTTACCTATACAATAGAGATGTTGAGGGCTGGATGGGTGAGTACAGGAACAGAACTTTGGATGGGGGCCAGCAAAGTAAATGCCCTGCATCAGACACCTCCCCCTCCTCCTTAGCTTACTCTTGGCAAGTGTGGGCCCTTCTACACACACTTACCTGCCAAAGACCACCACCCACCAGAGGGTCCCAAATGGGGGTCGGAGCATGCCACTAAAGCTCCAGGGAAGGAGTTGAACAAGCAGCTGTGGCCAACTTAGAGCCCCCTTGGAGTGGGACCAGCCCCTCCCACCTTCATCCACAGCTGTTGTTGGAGGCTGCTGGAAAATTGTCATCCATAATAAACATGCACCCGTGATGAGATGTGACAGGTCCTCAGCAGGCATCTTTGGGTGGCATACAACCCACCTAGCCATGCCAGGCTTTGCTCACCCTTGAGCTGTGTCCCCATGAAACTGCCCAGAACCACCAGTCTGGTCCCAAACTGGGCCAAGGTGAGAACATAGGCACATGTTTGTCCTTCCACCCACTGATGTACCTTCTTCCATGCTGATACGCATAACTCACACTCCTACATGCAGGTGGACCCCTTCCCACCATCAGCATTGTCCCTGTGTCCTTCGAGAAAACTGTACCCTGCAGCCCTCATTGGTTCCTTGGTGTTCACTGGCACACCCTGCTCCTGCTCCTCAAGGCCCAGGCAGGCCCAGACACGGGATACACGCTGCTCTCCTCATGCATGCAGGAGGGTGGAGCTGGACGAGGAGTTGCCTGGGTTCTGTCCAGCCCGGGCCAGCCCTTTCGCCTGCCGTCAAACCTGCATGAACACATAGGGCCAGAGCGGGGGGAGGAGACAGGCAGGGCTACGATCCCTGACATAGGAAGGAAGGCAAGGGTATCAGTGTCCCAGAGCACAATTTTTTCTCTCTCAGTCCCGAGCACCAGAAGTCCAAAATTTAGGTTGACACCTGTGCTTTCTCTGAAATCTGTTGAGAGAATCCTTTCTTGCCACTTCTGGGTTTTGGTGCTTCAGGCCTCCTCGGCTAATGGCAACCTCTGTCTCAGTCTGTGTGTTGCCTTCCTCCCTGTGTGTGTGTACCTTTCTGTCTCTTCAAAGCACACTTGGCATTGGATTTAGGGCCCACTCAGATAACCTGGGATGACCTCATTAAGCCGTGAAGTCCCTTTTTCCAAGCAGGGTAACAATCCCCAGGTCTACGCATTTGGATATAACGTGTTTTTTTTTTTTTTTTGAGGGAGCACCGTTCAACCTATTGTAGAAGGTAGTAAGGGAGCCAGCAGGACTGGAGGGGACACGGCTGGGGGTCAGACCGGCAGGGTGAGGCAGGAACTCGGAGTCACCCTGACTTCTGGCCTGTCCCTGTCCCAGAACCCCAGGCTTCTCCCCTCCAAGCCTCTGCCCATCTGCCTGTCCCCAGTCACGCCCTGTCCCAAAGCTGTGGGCCTCCTCAGGGATCCCACAGGTTCCTAAGGGTTCCTTCCAGATCCACACAGTCCAGGCCTTGCTGACCCCCAACAGAACCAATCAGGCTCCTCGCTCCTTTCCCACCCACAGGGGGCCACCCCCCACTACACCCTGCACTTGAATTCCAGTACTCAGGCTTCATACTCTTGAGGTCCCAGGCAGGGTCAGACACCTCCCTGGAGCCCTGCACTTATCCACCTGGGCAACAGATTTGAAGGAAGAAGTGAAATGGCCCGGATAGTGGGAAGGGGGAGGAGGGGCCCATGATGGTTTGTGGCTGCTGGTGGGTCCAGCCCATGCCTCTGTGAATCCGAGAGGGCGAGGGGTGGGGCAGTGAGCTGGGGGCAGGAGGGCTGCAGGAGAAAGCCAGGTGGCTGAGGCTGAGGAGATACCGGGGAGCTCTTGCTTTGGAGGGGAACCCCAACCCTAACTCTCCAGACTGGACAACGGAGCACAAAAGGGGACCGGGCACCTTTCTGCCTGACTAGGAATCCCAATGACCCATGATTCTGCCTCCGAGCGGCTGAGAAGGGAGTGTGAAGAGCCCGGCCCAGGACCACGCTTCCCCCGGCTGCCTCCTTGGGGCTCCACCAGGAAGGATTGACTCCAGAGCTGAAACGGTCCGTTCCCTTGGTTTCTACCTTTCCAATGCCCAGACAGAACGGGGCAGAGGACGGGGCCAAGCCGCCCAGGGCCCTGCGCCCCGTACAGTGGGCCCTCACGACGAGAGAGTGACCGGGAGTTCACAAACCAGGCAGAGCCGGAGCCCCCTCCCCACCAGGCAGAGTGCCCCGGAGTGGGTGCAGGAGGCGCGTGCACTAGGTGGTCGCAAGCGCACCGCCCGTGCTACGTGTGCCGGAGCCCGGCGATCCAAGGAGGTGCCCAGCTCGCTGGGGACTCGGGGCGGGGGGTGCCTAGGCGCCCGGGCCGTTCCACCCTGGGCCGGCGGGGGAGCGCCTCGGGTCATACCACCCGCCGGCGGGGGAGCCGTCCCGCGCCTGGCAGCCTCCCGGCGTCGCAAGCCCCGCCCGGCAGGTGGCGGCCCCGCCCCGAGGCCGACGTGCGGAAAGGAACGCGCCGGCCTCGCCCGCGAGGGGCCGCTCGGCGGTGGGCGCGGCGTCCCGTCCCCGGCTCGCGTCCACTGGCTGCGGCGCGGCAGGGCGGGCCCGGCTCGGGCGACCATTGGCCGCGAGACCTGGACATTTGCATACGGGCCGGGCGCGGGGTTCCGGACTGGCGGGGGCGCGAGGGGGCCGCTGCCGCCGCCGAAGTTGGGCAGAGAGCCGGCGACGGCCCCGTGCAGGGTCGCAGGTGACGCGCGAAGGGTCCTAGACTCGCGGGCGGGAACTTGGGCCGGGCAGGGGCTGCGGGCTCGGACCGCCAAGTTGGACGGGAGGGGAGGTGGGGGTCGTGGGTGGGGGACGACTCTTCCGCCCGCACGGCGGTCCCTCCAGGCGCAGGGCAGCCACTGCCCACCGCACATTGCGCTGCTCCGGACCCACTGTGCGTGTGACAGCGGCTGATCTGTCCCTGGGCAGCGCGACCGCCCCGCCCCCTCTGTGACCCTGTGGGGCAGGGGACTGCCACGTCGGGTCAGAGGGAGCGTGCCAAGGCGGGTGGTAGGCGAGGGCGCTGCACGGACTAGGTGCGCCAGTCTGCGCCCAGCAGTGGGCTGGGTGGGGAAAACGGGGGACATTCAGAGGCCTTTGCTGCCCTTTGCATGCGGGGGCCACAGGCCGGACCAGATGCCCTCTTGGAGGGAACTCTCTTCTTGTGTGTCTCAGGGTGCCAAGGTGTGCAGGGCTCCTGCGACTGTCTTCCTGATGTTGCCAAGCCGAAGGCAGCCCTGGGCAGACACCGGTGTCATTGTCCGACCCTTGGACTTCAGGACAGGACCTCCTGAACTAGCCTCTTGAGGGCCACCTCCGGGAACTTTCTTGAGGAAAATAGTGGCAGATTTGGCTTTCCTGTGCCCTCTGCCATGTCAGCGAGGCCACTAAGGGAGTCACGACTGTGAAGATGCATTCGCGGTGCCCACAGACACGCCCTCCCAAGGGGTGTGGGTTCCTGGAGGCCTGTCTTCCCTGTTGGGTGTTCCTAAGTTCACCGTGAAAGTCTTGTGGTTGTGGAGCAGGCCCAGAGCAGCCTCTGGGCCTGCAGATGCCGCAGCAGCAGGCTTGTCCCCTCTCCCAGGCAGGGGAGGCCCGCTTAGTTGGGCCCTTGTGTGGACGTAGACGCCCCTCAGGAGGGACCCTACCCTAGTTAGCGGTTGATATGGTGTGCTGAGTGTCACACCCATCAGGCTTGGCAGGCCAGGCTCTGCAGGTGGCAGGGAGGCTGTCAGCAGCTTTGGGGTTGAGAAGCAACTGTGCGGATTTGCTGCCACTGGCCCGCGACCCTCTGTGAACCAGCCCCTGGAGGGTCAAGCAGGAATCTGAGGCCAGGCAGGGCACCGTGCCTTCCCCCACAACACAGTCTGGCCTCAGAGCAACCTCGAGGAGGGCAGCCCTGTACTCACACCGTGCAGCGTCCTGCCCTGCCTTCCCCCGGCTTGAGGGGAGCTAAAGAAGAGGGCAACAGAGGATGAGATGGTTGGATGGCATCAGCGACTCAATGGACATGAATTTGAGCAAGCTCCAGGAGACGGTGAAGGACAGGGAAGCCTGGCATGCTGTGGTTCATGGGGGTCACAGATTTGGACATGACTGAGCAACTGAATGACCACTGGCCTTTTCTCCCCTCAGCACACCTCACATTGTAGTTTTCAAAGTACAGTTTAAAACTCAAAAGTAAACCTTTCAGCAACTCAAAGATTTGCTTAGTGATCTGAAGCACTTCAGGCAACTTGGGGGGATGTGGGGTTTTGTTCACTCAGAGAAGGTTCTGCCCCTTTCCCACCCAGGAATGTGTGGGTTGCCTAAGGACCCCCTTTAAGCTGGAGAAGACAGCTCTCAGCATCCCCAGAGGCAACCTTGTACCAGGGGCAGGTCCCTGGCAGTGACTTCAGAAGGAATGGGTGTTCCCTGAAAACAGACAGGAGACCAGGGGCACAAGCTCACCCAGGTCTGTGCCTGCTGTCCTCTGAGGAGTGGGGACGTGCAGGGCACAGGCTGGTCCTCCCCGGCCCCTGGGTGTGTAGGGGAGTCCCTGGATGGCACCTGGCCTTGCACCCTGGTGGCCTGTGTGCTCAGCTTGGGAGGTGAAAGGGCGCTAAGGCTCAGGGCTTGTGCCCGGAGGTCCACCCAACCCTGTGGACACAGGTCGGGGATCCAGGTGAAGGGAGCAGGCCCCTCGACAGTCCCCAGTCCTCTCACCTAGCATGAGGCCTGACCAGCCCATGTGGTCAGGGCTGCACCTCGTATGGCCTGTGCTTGACCCTAAGGAGAGTCACAGGTCAGGCAGGAGTGTGGACAGGCATGGGAATGGGCTGGGGGCTCCAGAGAGGAAACTGGGGCCAGATCCTTTTTGCCACCAGGCCTGTACAGCCACTCCCAACCCTGCTGCAGCTCAGGTAGGAAGGGCCTGCTCCTGGTTCCTCCCAAAAGCCAGGCGCTTGGTGGTTTCCTTGCACTCAGGACTTCATGTCCCCTACAGTCTGCCCCCAAGGAGGCAGGGAACACCAGGCCCAGCTCAGGGGCCACCCCAGGAGAAGGGTGAGTCTTCCCCAAAGTTGCCCACCCCCACACTAAGCAGGAAGACCCCTGTGATCTAGGCTGTCCTGTCCTCTGTTCCTCAACATGCGTGGTTGCACCCAGGTCTTGGAGCCCCCCAGGTTCTGGCTGGCACAAAGCTTGCCTCTCCTGACTGCAACTCAGAGCTGGGAGCCTGTGGCCCACCCCAGACCAGGGCTGTGGTTCAGACCTCACCCTGCCCCAATTTCAAGGCTGCAGGCATGTGGCTGAAGCTTCATGCCCAGCTGGGGTGAGGAGGTGGGGTGTTGGAAGGCAGCGCGGCACACCCTCCAGGGGTCAGCAAAGCTCCTGGGGCCTGGCAGACCCAGGAGTCCTGCCCCCGCAAGCTCAGGCTCAGGAAACCTGATGGACGGGTCTGGTGTGTCCTTGAATCCTCAAATCCAGGAGCCACCCCAGAGGCGCAGTGCTTCTTGCTGCTGGTGGGGAGCAGACCAGACAGGGAAGTCAGGCGAGGGAGGGATCTAGACAGAAACCCAGGTCAGTGCCGAGGCTACTTCAGGCCCCCAGACCATCCAACCCCAGGCTGCCAAGGAGAGAAGCTACCCTGCCCCCAACAAGGAGAGGCCACTCCCCAGGAGTGGGTGGATACAGCTCCAGCTTTGGATTAAATAACCACGGGTCCCTGGGAGACCTCCATTTCAGGACCCTTAACTATGGCTAGCCCCAGGCAGCTCAGGGGACTACTCAGAGACCCTGCAGACCTTGCCCAGTGCAGCCTCAAGACACGCTCAAGCCATGGGAGGCAGTTTATTGAGGTTTTAATGGTGGTGTAGGGAGCCAGTGTACACATGGATGTGGGCAAGAATACCTCCCGCATGCAAGCACATACCCATAGGTTGAACACAGGGTCTGTGCACCTCCTGTCCCCAACAAAGAGCTGTGGCCTTTGGGGGCTATGATCTCAGGGCTGGCCATGCCCCTAGCTTCTCCAGGGTCTTGGCAGATTTAGCAAAGACTAGGGCAAGAGTCTTCAGCCTTTCTGTGCACCCTGCAGCAAGAATCCTAGGGCTCCAAGGTGTCCCATCTCAGGCTCCAGGTTCCAGGGCTTCCCACTGCACGGTGGAAAGAGTCCTCTGTGACCACGGGCTCGCCTCTGTCATCCAGGCTGGGCAGGCCTTGGCTGTGGACGTCCACTCTGGGGTTAGAGCTGCTACCTCAAGGAGTTCTGCCTCATGGGGGCAACTGTGGGGAGGACATAGACTTGAGAGGCCTGAGGGCGTCACTGGACGACCTCATCCCATCCAGACGGGGGAGACAGACATACTCTCTGGGCTCAGGCTGGACACAAGGGCCGGACTCCGGGGGCCTCCCGTGAGGGCCTCTTCTCTGGCTGGAGGCAGAAGACCCTGTGGGAAAAGCAGGTCAGCTTGGGGCTGGGCAGGCCCCGCACTGACCTGGCCTCCCTCCAGAACTGCTCTGACCTGAGTGCCAGCAGGGCCCCCGTCCGGCCCTGGGGGCGGGGGCAGCGCTGCGCCCGCCTGCTGGATGAACTGCTGCAGGTTGCACTGACGCAGCTCCCGGTTCAGCTCCTCCAGCTCCTGGGTCTGGGCCTAGGGCACACGGCACCCTCAGGCTCTGGTCTGATTCTGAGACCAACGCCCACACCCGCCCCCCGCACTGGGGTGCAGGCCCCGCGGGCTCACCTGCAGGGCGTGCTCGGCAGCCTCCAGAGCCCGGCCCACCAGGGCGAGGCTGCCCTGCACCTGCATGCTTTGCCGCTCCTGGGCAGCCAGGTCCTGGCGCAGGCGTTCAGCCACAGACGCTGTGGGCGAGGGGGACCTCGGGGCCTCTGCGGCCAGGTGTAACTCGGCCTCCAGGGCGCGGGCCTGCGCGTCCAGGGCCTGCAGTCTTGCCGCATGCTCAGCTGTAGCTGCGCTCAGCGCGTGCAGGCGGGCCTGTGCCTCACGCTCCCGGGCCTGCTCCCGCCGCAGCTCCTGCTCCCAGAAGGCCTCCTGGCCCAGCTCTGCTGCGTTCCTGCGCACCCTTCGCTCCAGACCCTGCAGGTCTGCACAGCAGCCTGGCACTGGCACTACAGGAGCCAGAGGCTCAGGTGGCACAGGCCCGGGGGCCTGCCCAGGGCACCCCAGGCTGAAGGTCAGTGCTTTGCAGGGCTCACGGTGCAGTGCTGGTCGAGGCTTTGGGGGAAGGCTGGCTCGGATGGGGCAGCGCTCAGGGGGAGGGCAGCTGTCTGAGGAGGGCCTCCCAGCGAGGCTGGGTCCTGTCCGCCTCAGGACAAACTGGACATCACTGGCAAACTGTCCGCAGGTCGCTTGGGCGCCCACAGGACATTCCTGGGGTAGCAGCTGCCGTTCCTTCTCTCTGAGACGCTGCACGAGCACAAAGCGGCCTGTCTGGCCTGGAGTCGGGGAGAGGGGTCAGTCAGCCCACATCCCTTACCTTCAGTCCATCTGGCTTGAGCAGCTGGGGAAAGGCAAGAGGGACCAGCAACAGCCCCACCCTCCTGGGGGCCATATGGGGCCCAGAGGCCAGGCCCCACTGCAGTCGCACCTGCTGGGCCCATCCATGCTTCAGGGAACTCACCTATGGCTTGGGCTAGTGCAATGACCACTTCTTGACAGGTGGTCTGCTCTGAAACCCCACAAACCACGCGCTGGATGCCGTCCACCCACACCTTCAGCTCCATGGCCGCCAGTCCTGAGAGCATGCCTGTCCTGCAGCGAGGGCAAGGGACACGGGGTCAGGCCCAGCCTGGCCCCAACACAGTTTGGCCAGCTTTTCCTCCTCAGGCCTGCCCCGCACCCCGGAACTGGCTCGGGACTGCTGCCCCTCGGCATCTGGTGCGCAGCCCCACACGGAGGCCGCACATTCCTGGGGGTTGGGAAGCAAAGGCCAGGGCCCCCCTAGAGAGGGAACCAGAGGGCCCTCCCTCAGCGCTCGGAGGCTGCCCCACTTCCCAGCCTGCTCTCGGCCGGCCCCACTCCCGGAACCAAGCAAATCATTAACCAGACGCGGCCACCCGGCTTGAAGGGCACAGCCCCTCCTGCGGGGCGTCCGCGCGCAGCCCTCGGCACCGCAGACCCGCCGCACCCGGCGCGGGCGGCCCCTCCCTGCTACCGCGCGCTTCCGCGCTCGCGGCGAGGCCGCGGTCCCCGCTCGCAGCGGGTGCAGGTGCGGCGTGGCCCCCTCGCCGGCCCGGCTCGCACCCCTCCGTCTGAGTCGCAACCCAGGGCCGCGCCCTGCGCCGCGAAGGCCCCGGAACTCGGCGCGGCTCACCTGGACGCTCACCGGCCTCCGGAATGCGGACGCGGACTGGCTGCTGCCAAGCTCCGGGCGCCGCCGCAACCTGCCGCCTCCAGCGCCGCGGGAGCGCCCCGGCCCGCCGCCCCATTGGCTCGCCGCCCGCGCGCCCCGCCCCGCGCGCCCCCATTGGCTGCACCGCGCGCCCCGCCCACCCCGCGCCTACGCCCATTAGCCACCTACGCAGAGCCTCTCCCCTGGACCTCCCCATTGGCTCCTCGCCCGCCCCGCCCACGGCGGCGCCCAGGTGTGGGCGGGGCTCGGCCGCGCCGGGGGACGAGAGCGCCCGGGTCCACGCGCGCCCCGAACCCGCTCACCGCGCGGAAGAGCGCTGCCTTCCGCGGCGCAGGCGGCGCGTGGGCCAGGTGCCTGGCCGCGCTTCCTGGCTGACTTTCGCAGAAGCCGCCGCTTCTGATGAGTCTCCCGCCTAAGGGAGGGGGCGCCGGCCCGGGACCCCGCGAGCCCGGCCTGCACCCAGGAGGGCAGCGGGGCTGACACCGCCCCTCCCCTCGCTTGGGACGCGATGGGGCGCACGGGGTCGGGGGGCTCAAGGCGGGAGGGACTGGAGCTGGTTGGCCACTGGTCCTCTCCGGCTGCTGCCTGGCTGACAATCCTGATGGGGGAGGGGGCCGCCAAGAGGTTGCCTGGGACAAAGGCCCTGGGCTCTTTGTCTGAGGCTCAATAGGGCCCAAGGCTGGTCCGAGCTGTAAACACACTCCTCCGCCAGGCGAGTCCTGCTATTCTGCCCGGAGACCCCAGTCCGGCGCGGCAGCCGGAGCCCCTCATAGTCTCAGCGCTGTCTGTGTGGATCAGCAGCAAGGACGTCTAGAACCTGCACTGCCCAAGTCAGACTGACCCAGAGCGGGGTTTCTTCCTCCTGCTCACCACAAGCCCTGCAGGAGCAAAAGCTGAAAGTCTGAAAGAATGCATGGTGAGGGAATGAAGGTGGGTGGGGGTGGGGCAAAAAGTAGAGGGCGTGGTCTTATGGGTCAGGTCTGGGGCTCACTTTTATCCAGGTCCAGGGACAAGGGAACTATTTGTTATTGTTCAGCCCCTAAGTCGTATCTGACTCTTTGTGATCCCCATAGACTGTAGTATGTCGGGCTACTCTGTCCTCCACTATTCCCCCAACTTTGTTCAAATTCATGTCCATAGAGTCGGAGATGCCATCCAACCACCTCATCCTCTGTCACCCCCTTCTCCTTTTGCTTTCAATTTGTCCCAGAACCAGGGCCTTTTCCAATGAGTTGGCTCTTCACATCAGGTGGCCAAAGTATTGGAACTTCAGCTTGAGCATCAGTCTTTCCAGGGAATATTCAGGATTAATATCCTTTCTAAGCATCTGCCAGCAATGTGGGAGACCCGGGTTCGATCCCTGGGTTGGGAAGATCCCCTGGAGAAGGACATGGCAACCCACTCCAGTACTCTTGCCTGGAAAATCCCATGGAGAGAGGAGCCTGGTGGGCTACAGTCTATGGGCTGCAAAGAGTCAGAAATGACTGAGCGATTTCACTTTCACTTTCTTCTCTAGCACAAACATTTGAAAGCACCAATTCTGCTCAGCTGAAAGCTCTCAGCATTCTTCTTGGTCCAACTCTCGTATCCACACATAACTACTGGAAAAACCATCAGTTCAGTTCAGTTCAGTTGCTCTGTCGTGTCCGACTCTTTGCGACCCCATGGACTGCAGCATACCAGGCTTCCCTGTCCCTCACCAACTCCCAGAGCTTGCTCAAACTCATGTCCATTGAGTTGGTGATGCCATCCTACCATCTCTTCCTCTGTCGTCCCCTTCTCCTACCTTCAATCTTTCCCAGTATCAGGTTCTTTCCAATGAGTCTGTTCTTCACATCAGGTGGCCAAAGTATTGGAGCTTCAGCTTCAGCATCAGTCCTTCCAATGAACATTCAGCACTGATTTCCTTTAGGGTTGACTGGTTGGATCTCCTTGCAGTCCAAGGAACTCTCAACAGTCTTCTCCAACACCACAGTTCAAAAGCATCAATTCTCTGGTGCTCAGCTTTCTTTATAGTCCAACTCTAACATCCATACATAACTACTGGAAAAACCATAACCTTGACTAGATGGACATTTGTTGGCAAAGTAATGTCTCTGCTTGTTAATATACTATCTAGTTTGGTCATAGCTTTTCTTCCAAGGAGCAGGTGTCTTTTACTTTCATGGCTGCAGTCACCATCTGAAGTGATTTTGGAACCTAAGAAAATAAAGTCTCTCATTGTTTCCATTGTCTTCCCATCTATTTGCCATGAAGTGATGGGACTGGATGCCATGGTCTTAGTTTTTTTAATGTTGAGTTTTAAGCCAGCTTTTTCACTCTCCTCTTATACTTTCTTCAAGAGGCTCTTTAGTTCTTCTTCAATTTCTGCTATAAGAGTAGTGTCATCTGCATATCTGAGGTTACTGATATTTCTCCTGGCAATCTTGATTCCAGCTTGTGCTTCAGCCAGCCTGGCATTTCGAACAATGTTCTCTGCATATAAGTTAAATAAGCAGGGTGACAATATACAGCCTTGAAGTACTCCCTTGCCTTTTTGGAACCAATCTGTTGTTCCATGTCTGGTTCTTACTGTTGCTTCTTGACCTGCACACAGATTTCTCAGGAGGAAGTAAGGTGGCCTGGTATTCCCATCTCTTGAAGAATTTTCCACAGTTTGTTGTGATTCACACAACCATATGGTTGTATATGGAAAACCATATGAAAAAAACATAGCTCCAACTATATGGACTTTTGTGAACAATGTGATGTCTCTGTTTGTTTAATATGCTAAGTTTGTCATAGCTTTTCTTCCAAGGAGCAAGTGTCTTTTAATTGCATGGCTACTGTCACCATCCACAGTGATTTTGGAGCTCAAGAAAATAAAATCTGTCACTGCTTCCACATTTTCCCCCTTCTGTTTGACATGAAGTGATGGGACTGGATGCCATGATCTTAATTTTTTTGAACGTTGAGTTTCAAAGCAGCGTTTTCACTCTCCTCTTTCACCCTATCAAGAGGCTCTTTAGTTTGTCTTTGCTTTCTGCCATTAGAGCAGTATCATCTGTATATCTGCTGCTGCTGCTGCTGCTAAGTCGCTTTGGTCGTGTCCAACTCTGTGCGACCCCATAGACGGCAACCTACCAGGCTCCTCCGTCCCTGGGATTCTCCAGGCAAGAACACTGGAGTGGGTTGCCATTTCCTTCTCCAACACATGAAAGTGAAAAGTGAAAGTGAAGTCACTCAGTCGCATCCAACTCTTCGAGACCCCATGGACTTCAGCCTACCAGGCTCCTCTGTCCATGGGATTTACCAGGCAAGAGTACTAGAGTGTGTTGCCATTGCCTTCTCCTTCTGTATATCTGACGTTGTTGAAATTTCTCCCAGCAATTTTGATTTCAGCTTGTGATTCCTCCAGCCCAGCATTTCACATGATGTACTCTGCATAGAAGTTAAACAAACAGGGTGCCAAAATACAGCCTTGACGTACTCCTTTCCCAATTTGGAACCAGCCCATTATTCCATGTCCGGTTCTAACTGTTGCTTCTTGACCTGCATACAGATTTCTCAGGAGACAGGTGAGGTGGTCTGGCATTCCCATCTCTTGAAGAATTTTCCACAGTTTTTTGTGATCCACACAGTCAAATGCTTTAGCATAGTCAATGAAGCAGAAGTAAATGTTTTTCTGGAATTCTCTTGCTTTTTCTATGATCCAATGGGTATTGGTAATTTGATCTCTGCTTCCTCTGCCTTTTCTAAATCCAGCTTCAACATCAGTTCTCGATTCACATACTATTGAAGCCTAGCTTGAAGAATTTTGAATATAACCTTGGTAGCATGTGAAATAAATGCAATTGTGTGGTAGTTTGAACATTTTTTGGTATTGCCCTTCTTTGGGATTGAAATGAAAACTGACCTTTTCTAGTCCTGTGACCACTACTGAGTTTTCCAAATTTGCTGGCATGTTGAATACACCACTTTAAGAGCATCATCTTTTAAGATTTTTAAATAGCTCAGCTGGAATTCCATCAACTCCACTAGCTTTGTTCATAGTGATGCTTCCTAAAGCCCACTTAATTTCACACTCCAGAATGTCTGGCTCTAGGTGAGTGATCACACCATCGTGGGCATCCAGGTCGTTAAGATCTTTTTTTGTATAGTACTTCTGTGTTTTCTTGCCACCTGTTCTTAATCTCTTCTGCTTCTGTTAGGTCCTTACTGTTTCTGTCATTTATCATGACCATCTTCACATGAAATGTTCCCCTGGTAGCTCCAATTTTCTTGAAGAGATATGTAGTCTTCTTCCCCATTCTATTATTTTCCACTATTTCTTTGCAGTATTTCTTTAAGAAAGCCTTCTTACCTCTCCTTGCTATTCTCTGGAACAGGGTTAGGGTTCAGTTCAGTGAGAACTATTGTCATTATTCGTGCCCCAAGGCTCCTTACAGGGCTCTCGAGCTGTGGGTGGATGCGGGAGGGAGGCTTCTGTACTGGGGGTTAGGTAAAGGGGCAGCAGTCAGTTCCGCAAAGGGGTTGGGGAAGGCATGGAAGGGGGCCCGCTGCCTGCTGGTCAGAGCTCAGAAAGCCGCTCTCCCAGGTTCTCAGGGCTGTCCCCTCCGTCTCTTCCCTTTCCCCAGACAGCTGGGCCCCAGTGAGGTCACATGCTTAGCACAGCCATCCTTCTGGCCTGTGGATACACTCACAGCACAGCAGTGCCCCCAACACCCAGCGACCGCCATGGTCAGCCAGGGAGCGCCCACGGGAGCCTCCCCAGGGTTGGTCGGGGCTGTTGAGCTGAGTGGGTGATGGTGGCAGGCCCTGTGGGTCACTCTGTGTCCCCTGGGTCTGCTGAGGTTAGCTAGGCCACAGGTCAGCCCCTCACAGCTTCTCCTACAGGCTGGACAACGACGGGGCCAGGGTTCACCTGGGCCCTGGTCTAGGTCTCCCTGGAAGCTCCTGGTAACAAACAGCCCCTCCCCTCTGGCTGCTAGTATCCACGGCAACCCTGTAGAGCCTTTCTCTCCATAGGCCTGCTTGTACTTCAGGCCTCAGGTGAGTGTTGGGGAGGACCCTGGCCCTGAGGGGACAGAGACCACACCAGTGAAGGACCAGCACCTTTGGGGACCCATGCTCTAGGCTGGGGGACAGGTGTTCAGGTCCTGGAGGCAAGGGTGACAGGGAGGAGATGACAGGGGATGGCTGAGCACCCAGAGATGTTGTACCAGGGGTGAGGTGCCCTGCTGCCCTGGCCGGCTCAGAAACGCGTGGGTGTAGACGTGACTGGTAGTGTGCCTTTCAGGGGGGCAGACACACGCACCCCTTCTTGGAGAGTGACACCCCGTGAACCAGCAGTCCCATCTGGGGCTGTCACACACAGGGTTGGCCGTGTAAGGAGAGCCCTGCAGACTGCACACACACCAGACCCAGTGTAGCCCCGCCACCCCTCCTCCCAGCACCCCCAGCAACATCAAGAATGGCCCCCAAGTCTCGTCAGGAGGCTGAAGACGCTGAGGAAGAGGCTCTCACATCCCTGGTGGACCGAGAACCAGTGAGTGGCCATGTGGGGCCTCCAGCGGGTGCCATTGCATACCCGGTGGCTCCCACACGCCCTCAGAACGCCAAGCCCAGCTCCACCAGGATGGTCTCCTCCATCAACCTGCAGTAAGGAGGAGAGGGGTGAGGTCAGCTGCTCGGGCCAGGCCAGCCAGACAGCAGGGCCTGACCAAGCAGCGCGGGGGGCTGGTATTTCAGGTCGGCCTTGGAGTCCCTGGACCCCCACACCCTACGGCTGCTCTGGGGGCAGAGGGAGTTGGAGATCCAGGCCCTGCGGTGGACCATCCAGAATCAGCATGAAGCCCGGCACTGCCGTATCCTGCAGAAGGTGGCTGGGCTTCCGGCTGAGAGGTCAGTGGGGTGCGCTGGTCCCCACCACTCAGTCCCCGGCCGGCCCTAACCCTAAAGAAGTTAATACACTCTAAACCACCCAGACCCTAGCCCCCGAGCATGTTGATGGGTGTTGAACCCAGCCTAGACCCCGCCTTTGACCCAGACCTCTTCAGGGCCTGACCCGCCTACCTGGCCCTGGCACCCTAATGAGTGAAGAGGCTGCAGACCCAGAGGTGGGGCTGCTGAGGTTACCCCTCCCCCAGGAGCTCGAGAAGTCAGGAAAAATTCCTGCAAAACCAGGTCCAAAAGCTGACTTTGGAGTTGAAAGCGCAGAAGGAAAAGGCCCAACTGGTGAGGGGCAAGAGGGATCAGGGCCAGGGATGGGGTGGAGGTGGGTGGGGGGTGAGGCCCAAGCCAGGGTGGGGTGGGCCGGGGGCGGGGTCTGTGGAATGCCCCGCCCACTGCCGACCCGCCGGAGCAGGAGAAGGAGCGCCTGGAGGAGCGCCTGCAGCAGACAGGGGACGCGCTGCAGCAGCTGGAGGCCGAGCTGCAGGCCTTCCAGAAGTCCTGCCTCCTGCAGCTGGCCCGCTCCTCCTGGGTGGGCCGCGTGCTGCGGTCTTCCACAGGCAGCGTGGAGGTGAGCCTGGCTATGGGCGGCCCCCCAGCCCACCCTCCTTGGTCAGCTGGCTGTCCCCTTCAGACTGGTGCTTCCACTCAGGGGCCTTGGCCTCCCTGGACCAGGGATGAGCAACCAAGCCTGTGGTCCCTGCCACCTGGCTCTCAGCAAGTGTGCGGCTCAGGTGCTGGGGAGGCTGGAGGGCAGAGTGGCCTTGGGCAGAGGCCCCCAGCCCCTGCCCGCTGGCCTCCTGCCCCTTTGCAGGTAGTGCCGGCAGAGACCCTGATGGAACTCAGTGGCTTCTCTGAGAGCGGTCAGGCCCCCACTGCTGGGGAGGTAAGGGAGGCCCGCCAGGTATGTTCCTGGATCTGCAGTCCTGCAGGGGGGCCAGGTCACCTGCCTGTTGCTCCCTGGCCAGGGTTTCCGGCTGGAGGATGTGGACTGGAGCAGCATTGCCCACCGGTACCCTAACCTCTTCACCAACCTCGAGTCCAGCTCAGATCAAAAGTAACTGCACTGGATGGGGACTCCGCAGGGGAGAGGGAGAGGAGGGGAGCGCCTGCCTTGGCTGGGGTGAACCAAAGTCCAGGTTCCACCCTTTAGTGTCCGTGGACAGGTCATTTAAACCTTCCAAGCATCAGTTCTCTAACCTGCAGCTTGTAGTCAGGGATGAAGGGAAATCGTTCTGGGGCCATCCCTGTCTACCCATGAGCCCTTTGCCCAGGTGGGGTCCTAGGGACTGGGGCCACAACTTGGTGTGCCCTGCTCCCATCTGATGGCAGTCAGATGGGGGCAGGGCTGGGGTCCAGGAGCCAGAGCCCTGGGCAGAAATTTGGTCATGACCTGCAGGCACCCCCGGACCCCGCAGCTTCCAACAGCCTCACCGCCTAACCAGTGGAACTCAGAGCTGTGCTGTAGGCACCAGGAGCACAATCTCAAGAGTGTCGAGTGGAGCTCCCTGCCCTTGGTGGGCACCAGCAGCTCCGGGGGCGCTGACTCCGAGTCCAGCAACAGCCAGCTGGCGGTGCATAATCGCGTGCATAAAGTGACAGGGGCCCGTCCCCCAGTGCCTGGCCGCACTGCCAAGCAGGTGGAGGCACGGGCACAGAGCCTCTGCAGGGACAGTCAGGCAACATTTGAAGGTGGAGCAGGGCGGGTCTCCCCTGGTTTCTTCCCCCTCCCACAACTGCAGGTCTGTGATCTCTGTCCCAAGTCACAAAGGACATCCCCCTAACCTCCTCACTTTCACAGTTGCCCAGGTTGAGGCAGCAGGGGCCTCTCCAACCCTGTCCCTAGGGGTTAGGGTGGGCTTGGAGGACTCCTGCTGCTGCCTATGTGCTCTGGCTTGAATTCACTTGCCGCCCCACCCCCCACCAATTACTGTGCAGCACTCCTCTGCTTCCCCAGGCGCCGGGCCCACTGTCCCTCCTGCTTGGATCTGACCCCTGCTGCTGCTTCTCCCCCACATGGACCTCCAGGGCACTGCGGGCCGGGTCCGGCCTCACAGGAGATGTCCTCGGTAGACCCTGGACCCTCCAAATTGGGGTCCCCCTCCCAGGCAGTCTGCCTCTTCCTGCATCTCCAGAAAACCCGCTCAGACAAGCAGGGCAAGAATGGCCAGGAGCCTAAGTCTGGGGTGGATTCCCATCTCTGGACTTCCGGGCGCTGTCCAAGGTGAGGCGGGGACCCAGCTGGGACTGCAGGGTCAGGTCTCCTAGTGGGACCGTGGCGGGAGGGACCCCACTGACTTGGCACAGCGTCCCTGCCTGCGCTCCAGCCCCAGCCCCACGGGCACCCGCCTGAAGATCATGGCGGTTAGCCGCCGCCAGAGGTTCGTGCGCATCCTCAACCAGTCGCCGGAGGAGACGGTGGATCTGGGCGGCTTCGTGCTGCAGCAGCTGGTGCTCGACTTCCCTGTGTGCATGTACCGCTTCCCACCCAACACCCTGCTGGCTCCGCGGCACCACATCACGGTGCGCCCCTCTCCCCGCACCCCTCGAGGCCCAGCCCTCCGGCGGCCCCCCCTTCACTCGGCGCCCTGCCCCCCGCTCTTCCCAGGTGTGGGGCGAGGGGCCCTGTAGCACCAAGCGGCAGCAGTCCTCCTCCCTGGGCCAGGAGCCCGTCCACTTCTACTCCAGCCGAGGCTGTGCGACCCTCCTCCTGAACCCCCAAGGCGAGGTCAGAGCGGGTCCCAGCGGGGATGGGGGGACGGGCCGGCTTAGTGGAGTAGGGGTGACTTCCGTGTTTCCCACGGCTTCTTAGGTCCTCAGCGAGCACCAGTCCCCACACTACATGACCCCAGTGTCCAGGATCTTCGCAGACAACACCGACTTGTCCATCGACTGTTTCCCGCTCTCAGAGGCCCGGCCCGGAGCTGACCTTGCGGAGCATCAGCCCCAGCCTCGACCCCCGCGCAAGGGTCGGGTGCGGGAGGCCCAGGCTGGGCGCCGGAGGCCTGGGTGGGGACCGCGAGTCCCTCAGTGCCTGCTTTCTCCCCAGGCCTGGACTTGGCAAAGACCCCAGACTCCCTGCTAGGACTGCCCCCTCCCCCCCCCCCAGGTCCCACCTTTCGCCTGTTCTGGACTCCCCTCAGGTCTTCCATCTCCCCAGGCCGCGTCTGCCCCGGGACTACCCCTTCCCGCTGGCAGGCTGTCTCTCACGATCCCTCCCCACCTCCCCAGGCCGAGGGTCGGGTTGCCCCGCCTGAGTACCATCAAGATCCATCGCCAGCGGGAGGCCCCAGTATGGCCCGAGGACGCGGCCCAGACCCACGCAGAGCTCTTGCCCGCCATCCCCAGCCCCGGTGAGTGCGCAGCTGGGAGGAACGTGGAGGAGGGGCGGCCGGCAAGGAGGGGGCGCCCGGCTGACCCCACCCATTCTCTTCCTGAGCAGAGGTCGGGGTGGGCCTCCAGGACTGCCAGGGTAGGAAGGAGCACAAAGTCCGGGTGAGTGCCGTGCCCCGCCCCGCCCCATCAGACCCCGCCCCCATCAGACCACCCCCCCCGCCACCAGACCACGCCCACAGACCTGCCCCCTCCACCGGGTCCCGCCCTCCAACAGGCCCCGCCCGCCCTCAGGCCCCGCCCCTCCACCAGGCCCCCGCCCCACCCTCAGGCCCCGCCCCGCACTCAGGCCCCGCCCTCCGTCAGGCCCTGCCCCTTCCCGTCCAGCGGCCTCTCGGGCTCCACCCCCCCACCCCCCACCCCCCCCCTCGCAGGTGTGCCGGAAGAGGGTGGACCGCGGCTGTCCCATGGTGACGCTGTCGGTGCAGAGCACAGCTGAGAGCAGGTTCGGCTTCCGCTTCCTCAGCTACCCGCCCATCACCGCGGACACTCGCTGGCCGCTGTAGGGCCGGGCCGGGCGGCGGTACCGGCGGCTGTACCCCCGCGTATCCACGACTGTGGCGGTGGGGCAGGGAGAAAGCACGGCAGGCAGACGGTGCTGGCTGCATAATTTATTGAGCTAACGCCGCCTACTAAGTAAACCGCATTTCTGTACACCTGAGAGTCGAAAATGATTCGTTTGGTTTCTGGGTATCCAGCCCCAAGAGGAGGGAGCTGGTCCTCCCATCCCCACGCAGGGAACCCCACGGGTCCACCGGGGTTGGCCGACAGCAAGTGCTTCTTCTTGGGACCGCAGCAGCCCAAGGGTGGCTCAGAGCCCTGGGTGGCTGGAGGGCTGGCCAAGGGCTGGCCAGGGCCCAGTTCCAGCCACCTTGGCCGGGGCCCAACCTGCTCTCTCCCAGGCCTGCTCCTCAGGGAAGCCCAGGCCTCACGGAAGAGGTGGGTGGCTGGGCCAGTGGTGGGGACTTGTGCATTCTATCCTGGGTTCTACCTCTCCACCGTTGGTGGTCCCAGCTCCTGACTTCCCTCCACCAAGAGGGTCCTCTCCTGTGCCAGGCCCACTTCTCCCTCCCCAGCACCCTGGCCCAGGTGCTCTGGATTCTATGAGTGCACTCTGGGCCTCCCACGATTGCCCTGGGGCCCTTGGCCACTCACCAGGCCGGCCTGGCAGTAGGTAGGGGTGTATATGAGGGTGGGGTCGGGCTGGGGTGGTGAGTGTTAGGTGCGGCATGCACCAGAGGCTGGGGGTCTGGCTGCTGAGTCTGGGGCTGGCTTTGGGCCTGGACATCCCTCTGCTCGAGGGCTGGGGCCCGAGGTCACTTCTCTGGCTCTCAGAGCAGTCACTGGAGCCAGCCTCTGACCCAGGCCAGGCTCCAAACTACCCAGGGTTCTGAGCCTACGCCCCCGGAACTGCAGATCTGCAGACCCCCTGGAGCTGCAGCCCCGGTCTGGCATGAAGGACTTGGGGGGACAGGGAATCAAGTTGTACCCCGAGGTCCTGGAAGACTCTGGGAAAGGAGGAAAGACAGCAGGTCAGACAGGGCCACCGGAGTCACCAGGGCTGGGCCGCATGGCAGGGCCACAGTGTCCGCTCACAGGCAGGTGGCCCTGGGGTTGTTCCCAAACTTCCCCCATGCAGCGAAGCCCTGGCACCCCCCTGAGGGCAGGCTGGGTGGGTGTGTTCGTGGTCACCCAGTGCCCACCTGCACCCTGACTGAAGTAGGAGGTCCTAGCACCTCTCTGTCCCTCACTGGCTGTCGCTCCTCCAGCCACTCCTGCTGGCTGCCCGCCCGCACTCCCTCCTCTCCTCCGCCCTCAGCTCGGTGGCCTCAGCCAGGTGGTGAGGTCCCTGGCTGAGTCGGGCCGCCTTCCCCAGCCCCTCCCTCAGGCACAGCAGCAGCACAGCGAATGCAGAGCTTTGGCCCTGTCCCTGCTCCATCCTGGCCTCTTTGGTGCTCCCCCCCCCCCCGCCCCGCCACAACCCGCAGGGTCCTTGCAGCCCCTGCTTACAAATGCCCGCTCCCCAGGTTTGCCCGCCCAGCTGTTCCACAAGTCGGTTCAAACCTTTTCTCCAGGAAGCCCCCCTCGCCCCTTCTCTCTGCCTCACTGCCCCTGCGCTGGCTCTGCTCAGCCATGGTCACTCTCAAGCCAGTGTCCCTGAGGGAGGGTCTTGCCTGGCTTAGCTCTGTCCCAGCCCAGGACAGGCCTTGTCTGCAGAGGAAAGGCAGTAGCCGCCACCCGCTACCCCCCACCGTGGTCTCCTGCCCACCACCTTGCGGGGGGCCTTGCTCCCTTCACTGGGCTTGAGCCGTGTACCGCCCTTGTCGGGAGGGCCTCCTGTCCCCTCTCCCAGCTGACCCGGCTGCCTGGCCCCATGGCTCAGGGGAGGGGAACTGGAGCCTCCAGCCCCAGGAGAGGCCCTCCCTGCCCTTCCCGCCTCAGCCCGGTGCTGCTCTGCGGCGCTGGTTCTGTCGGGCAGGCTACCTGGGGCCAGGCTTGGGGGGCTGCGGTGAGGCTTGGGCCCGGCCTTGTCCTCTTGCTCTTCAGGGCCCTTCTGTGGGCCCCAGGGGGCTGCGGCCCCCTCTTCCCAGGACTCTGGGCACCTACTGGGAAGGGGGCTGGGGTGTGGGCGGGGGAGGCTGCAGCCAGCTCCTCCTTTGGAGCAGATCCCAGAGGAGTGTGACTTGGGGCTGGTCCCCCAGCCTTAGGCTCCTGTGACCCGACCCTCCAGCCACCCGGGACCAGCAACAACTCAGGCAAGGCAGGTCCCAGCCACCAGCCCCCCCGGATCAGAGCACACAGGGTGGCAGGCCTGGGGTGGGGGGTAGGGGGCACCCACCGCAGGTGCAGCTCCCTCAAAGCCTGAAGCCCGGCGCAGACCAGGAGGTCGCGATCGTCGGCAGGGTCAGGCCCTGGGGCAGAGGCCCTGGGGGCCAGCTCTTCCAGCCTGGGAGGCGGCAGCTTCTCAGGGTGCACCCCAGCCTAGGAAGGGAGAGGGCTGGTTCAGGGCATGGCCTGCCGGGGCTGGGAGGACGGGTGCCGGCCAGGGTGCCGCCTGTCGTGGGGGCAGGCTGTACCTGGCACTGGTGCCGACGCTCCTGCAGGCCTTTCGTGGGGTTCCCACAGAGGACCCGGCCGGTGCCTGGAGAAGAGGGTGCGGCTGGGCCTGGTTTGGGGCTGAGGGGCTTCAGGGCCAACTTCACACTGAGGCGGGTCACCTACCATGGGTGAGGTTGCTGGCATCATCCTCTGGGGCCGGGCCCTTGGGAAGGAGGCCTTCAGGCAGGGGGACCCCGGGGACCAGCAGGGAGAGAGGCCAGCGCCTGGGGGCCCGGGGCTGGGTCTCAGGCAGGCACAGCTGAGGGCTCAGGCTCCACATGGGGGATCCGTGGGTTCGATCTGCCCAAGAGTCAAAATCAGAGGTCACCAAGGCCCACGCCAGCTGGTCAGCCAGGAGTCCCCCCAGCTGAACCCCGTCCATGGAGCCCACTGCCCAGCGTCAGTGTGCCTGAGGCCCCGAGTCACGGGGTGGCAGGTTTCCTCCTTCCCTGTGCAGATGGTGGGGGAGGCCCGCACCAAGGCTGCTCCCAGGGAGGGTGTCCTGGCCTGGGGGTGTGTGTGCAGGGCTCTGGGGACAAGGGGTCAGGTCTGAGAAGGGACACAGGAGGCGACCTGCGAGCGGGACCGGGGTGCAGCCCCTCCTGGGGCTCGCAGGTGAGGTCCACAGGCCGGGCAGGGTGGCCCCAGCCCGAGGCCCTTGGACGTGGTTGCATGTACCTGTCCCGGGGAGCAGGCTGTCTAGGATGCAGCCCTCCTTGATGGCCTCCTTCACCAGGAGCCAGTCCTGGTCCAGCTTCCAAGAGGCCGGCAGGCCCGTGTGTGCAGCGGGCAGCTCGTCCAGGACCTGCAGCTGGGGGATGAGCTTCCTGACCTCTGCCCTGTAGTTGTAGCCTCGGGGCACCTGCGGGTTGGGGGCAGGCCTGAGTCCAGTGGACCCGTCAGGCCAGCCTGGGCCTGAGCTGCTCCCCCAGCCCCACTGTGGGCAAGGCAGGGGAGCTGAGGGTTGCTGGGGCCAGGCCCGCCTGGGTCACTCTGGAACCTCGGGGACTGCTGGGACCCTGGGCTGTTGCCCACGTATGATCGCACTCTGTGGGCTCACTGCCAGGGTCCAGGGCTACCCTCTGGCCTGCAGGGCTGCCTTGAGTTCAGAGCTTGGCCCTGTGGGTGGTGGAAGCAGCCGGGCAGGCGGAGGGAGCTCTGGCCGAGGGGGTGCAGCCCCCAGCACGGGGGCACCTCTGAACGGGGCCTGCGGGGTGTGCATACATGACTCCACGTGGAGACTGCACTCTGCATGGCGTGTGCACAGACCTCTCCCGGGAGCACACGTGAGCTAGGGCCTGGCCTGGGTATGTGTGGCCCTTCGGAGTCCAGTCGTGCGTGGCCCAGGGGACTGTGGGGGCAGCCATTGGGCGCCCAGCAATATGAGGAGGAGCTCCCGGTGAGGAGGCCCCGATGTGCCCTGGGCGGGTCCCCCCGGGGTCTGCTGAGACCTGGCCCGTTCAGGCGGGCAAAGCAGTCCCCTGGCTGGCTGAGGGGCTGGCACCACAGATCACCCCCCTCCTGGTGGTGCCCACCTGGTGGGTTGGGCCGGGGCCTGGCCTCAGGCAGAGTGGGTTGCCCTCCAGGGTGAGCGTGGCCAGCCGTGGGCACAGCTGCAAGTAGCGCAGCTGCCCCAGGTCCCCCACACAGTTGCCTTCTAGGTCCAGCACCTCCAGATGCTCCAGCAGGCACAGCGGGCTCAGGTCCCAGATGTCGTTGTAGGAGACGTAGAGTTCCTGGGGGGCGCGGAGGGGGAGGGGTGCTCAGCCAAGGCTGCCCCCACCTCCTGCCCCCTGTCTGCCCTGCCCCTCTCCTCCCCCACCCAGGGCAGGGCAGACCCACCTTCAGGGCAGGAAAGGAGCTGATGCCGTCCAGGTCAGCCAGGCCGCAGCGAGCCAGCCAGAGCACCTGCAGGTGGCCCAGGGAGGTGCCCAGGTCCCTGCAGAGGGCAGGGGGGCTGGTCAGTGCTGTCCTGAGGTGGAGGGCTGTGTCGGTGACCGCTCAGGCCCTGTGCCATGCCTCGTGCTCGCCACCACCCACATCTGCTGTCTCCAGATGCAGGGGCCGTTGGGACTGGCATGTGCGGCCCCAGGCCAAGGACGAGCTCCAGAGCGCCCGGCTGCCTGCCTTCACTCCTGGCTGCAGCCGCTGGAGAGCCCAGGCCTGGCTGCAGGTCGCCCTTGTGCTTGACGGCTGCGGCCCACTGCGGTGGACCTGGCCTCCCCAGCGGGGCCGGTGGGGGCCCTCCCTCCCGCTCTCCCCAGGCCTTTCTTGCAGGTGATTCCCCCCTGCAGCCCCTCCCCAGCCCAGCTGTGCTTTCAGGAAAACCCCTCCCCACCGGGACTGGCCGTGCCCCCGCGGGTGGGCAGACTGGGGCTCCGGCAGCTCCTGGGATGCATTCGTCTGTGCTTTCTCTCCTGATGTCCTCTGCTCTCGTGTCTGGAGCGTGGCCTCTCCCGTGTGGTCTCGTCGGCCCTTCTCGCTCCCGCTTCTAAACCTACACCTTTCCTCTGCTTTCCAGGAGGCCCCCTTGTCTCCCACGTTGCTGTCAACATCACACATTTAATTGCTCAGCGCCCATAGCTGTTCTCTCCTCTTCCCGTAGATGCTCTTTTTGTTTTGAGGGTGCAAAGAGGCCATGCGTCCTTCTTTGCCTCTCAGAACATTCCGTGAAGGTGCCTGAACATCTTACTCCCCCTTGGCACTGTCCGAAACTGCTGAGCCTGCGGCCTGCGTGCCCCACCTCCTGAAGCCCACGTGCCCAGGAGCCCGCGCTGGGCATCAAGAAGCCACTGCAGCGAGAAGGCCTGCGCACCTAGAGAGTAGCTCCTGCTCGTGCCAACTAGAGAAAGTCTGCACGCAGCTAGGAAGACCCAGGGCAGTCATAAATAAGTTAATCAATCAAAAATACTGTTAAAGCTATCAGAATAAAACTAGTAATAACTATAAAAATCAGAGAAGATGAACAGAGCCCAGTGATGGCTCTTTAAAAACTTAGAGAAAATCCTTTGGCAAGACTGATCAAGGATAAACAGAGGGACCATGCAAATTAATGTATGGGACTTAAAAAGAGGAATAATAATGGTCTGGCAGCAATTTAAAATAGCAAAAGACCATTAAGAACCACCTGTACACCAATATTCTTGAAAACCCAGAGAGCTGGCATTGAAAGACAGAAAACTAGGGCATTCCCTGGCAGTCCAGTGGTTAAGAATCCGCCTTGCGATGCAGGAGACATGGGTTCAACCCCTGCTCGGGAAACCCAGGTCCCACCTGCTTCACAGCAACTAAGGCCACGCAGCACAAGTACTGAACCCACACGCCCCACCTCGAGAACTGACTCGTGGCAACGAAGACTCCACGTGCCGCCCGAGGCAGCCAAATAGACAATGTTTTTTTAAAAAGGAAAGAAAAGTATATTAATAGCTACTAAAGAAATTAAATGGTCACTAACAGCCCTCCCTCCTCTCTGCCCCTGTCAAGTCCCCAGGTTTGTATCAGTTTTAAAGTACATTCTATTATGAAATAGTCAATATCTTCTACAATAATTTCTTATACAGAAGTTTTTTTAAAGAAAAATTAGGCAATTGAAAAGAACAGTAAGAGCATGGGTCTGAGTCAGTCTTTGATTCCAGGACCAGAGAAGTACAAATTGGACCATCAGTGGGCTATTACTGACAAAGACAGATGTGAAAATTGTGAAGTAAACATTTTAATGTTACAGTGACTTAAAAATAGCTCATCAAGTAGTGTTACTGCAGGAATGTAAGGATGAATTACAAAATCTGTCAATGGAATCCAGTACACAAGCAGACTAAAGGAGAAATATCACTTTATGATCATGTCAGCAGATGCAGAAGAACCCAGACACATACCCGTTAAGATGAGGAACAAACCCAGGACATCTGCTACTATTATTGCCACTGTTTGACATCATGTTGGCTACTAGGTCCTGGCCAAAGCAATAGACAAGAAAGAGAAGCAGGAGATTAGAGTGAAAGATAATGCTCATAACTTGCTGATAATATGACCATCCATATAGAAGCCCAACTGAATTAACAAATTATTTGAACTAACAGGAGAGTTTGGCAGTAATGTTTAAATACAAAACAAAGGTACAGTATTGCCAGAGGTAATAGACCCATTTATGAAAATCAATTGTTTTATAGATTAAAAAAAATCTATCCCAAATCAGCATAAGCACAGTGGTTTTCTAAATTTGCAATGACCAAACAGAATACAATAGAAACAGGACCTCATCCATGATTATCAAAACACTATAAATATGACGGAAGTGATTCAGTTCTGGTTTCAGGGAGCCCAGCCTTCAGAGGAGGCTGATGTCCTGCCCTGCACCAAGTGGCAGTGGGGTGCACAGGCGGGGGTCCTGGTTAGCCCACTGCAATCACAGTTCCACCCCCTGGAGAGTGGTTAGTGTGCGAGAGTGTACACATCGTACAATTCTGGCCAAAGAAATGCAGGAAGAACGCTGGGAACCTTGTTCTTACCAACTGACGGACACAGAAGGGCACATTTCCTGTTGTGGATGAACTGCATCCCTGCAAATTCATATGTTGCATCCTGACCCTCAGGACCTCAGACTGTGCCTTGATGTTGAAACTGGGTCTCTGCAGATATCACTAGTAGAGATATGAGCATATGTGCTAAGTTGCTTCAGTGGTGTCCAACTCTTTGCAACCCTATGGACTGTAGCCAGGGGGCTCCTCTGTCCATGGGATTCTCCAGGCAAGAATACTGGATTGGGGTGCCATGCCCTCCTGCAGGGGACTTTCCTGACCACGTGATCAAACCTGCATCTCTAATGTCTTCTGCCTTGGCAGGTGGGTTCTTTACTACTAGCACCACCTGGAAGCCCTAGTGGAGATGAGGTGGGCCCTAATCCAATATCACTGGTGTCCTTTTAAAAAGGGGAAATGTGGATCCTGACACCAGGAGAATTAGGCTATACAAGGTGAAGGCAGGGACTGGGGTGAGGAACGCCAAAGATGGCCAGCAAGGCCCCAGGAGCAAGAAGCATGCCAGGTTCTCCTTCTGCCTCAGGAGACACACCTTGACCTTGACTCATGACACCCACACCTGAGTCAGTTTCTGCTATTCAAGTTGCCTAGTTTGTGATGGTCTGACAAGGCAGAATAGCCTTTAAACATCTTCAAAGTTTATCAGTTAGAATGCTTTCAGGTGCAAGTTACAGAAATCTGTGTCCAGTTGGCCTAAGCAGTGAGAAACCGTTTACCCCTTCAGTGGGTAGCTCTAAAGGGAGGAGGTATGTGTATACAGGGGCCTCCCCTGGTGGCTCAGTGGTAAAGAAGCTGCCTGCAATGCAGGAGCAGCACGCAGGAGACACAGGTTCTATTCCTAGGTCAGGACGTTTCCCCCGGAGGAAGGCATGGCAACCCTCTCCAGTGTTCTTGCCTGGAGAATCTCATGGACAGAGGAGCCTGGTGGGCTATGGTCCATGGGAACACAAAGAGCTGGACATGGCTGAGGCGACTTAGCATGCACACGTGTGTGTGGTTGGAGAGCAGAAACTACGTAACACTGTGAGGCAGTTATACTCCAATTAAAAAAATAGTCTATTAAAAACATAAAAGCACACATGAATGGAGAGCTATGCCATATTCATGGATGTATGTAACTTAAAAATTAAATGAACATGTGACTTCTAAAAATTCCGCCCCCCGCCCCAAAATCCGGAAGGATTAGGATGTGTGAAACTCAACAAATTGATTGTAAAACTCAAAGGCAAGAATAAGTGTCCAGGAACAGCTAGGCCAGCTTGGAAAAAGGAAAACTCAGATGAGGGTCATGTGTCGCACAGAAGCACAGAGCCACGCCATGAGGACAGAGCTCTCAGCTCCCGGCGTGCCCACCTGGCCTGGGGAGCTGACCTACTGCTCGCGTGCGCGCTGAAGGATAGAACTGCATCTCCATCTCACACCAGGAATGGGGGCAAACTGGCAGATAAGAAGGATTAAAGACCCAAAAGTAAAAAGTGAGACCACAAATGAATAGAAGAGAAGACTATCTCCAAGACCTTGGAGGGGAAGAGGTGGATGAATCTCCTAAAAAACTCCCCTAGCACCAGCTAGCACTAACGGGCTAGAACAAGTCAGAATGAGGGGTTTCTGCTTGAGTTAGTAGGGGAGGCAGGGTGGAGAGTCACAAAGTCTCCAGTGCACCCAGACTACACAAACAGCCCACAGAAATGGACAAGGAGAGGGCAGAACTCACCTGAAAAGTCAGCACAAGGGGTAGTGAAGACTGTCCCTTTATTCACTGTAATAGTCCCCAAGTTAGTTGTGTTACTGGGATTTCCCCACCCAGCAGTCCTGGCAAAGGATGCACGTGTTGGATGCTGGCTGGCCCAGAAGTCAGCCCCACCAGTCCTCATGCCAGAACACTTTCAGGGGCTGAATTCCCCTTACCTTTGGATGAAGTGACAGTCATCACACAAAAGTCATTTCCCAGCCTTGTAACACCACTGAGGTTCTAAAGTCTTGACCATCCCTGTATCAGCTAAGCTGTAATACCACTCTGTTGGACTGTCGTGTTGAATTAGTTCCCTCTCACAAATATTAGTTCACTGTCACACCATGGAGATTTGCAAACATCGTTTGGCTAAGTTTTGGAATTTGATAACAACTTAAAGATTTCTTCCATTTTGCACTATTGTTATTAAGGAACAGAACACATTTTTGCATAAAATTTATGATGCAATTTTTCCTGGAATTGATTTTTCTTGTTTTTTTGCTCAAAATCAAATATTTTGTTACAAATGGTACATCATATTTAATTTTATATCTTCCACTTCTCTTTATAGTTTCCATTCTTCATGTATTTTCTATATATTTTTATTAATCTTTGAGCTAATGTGTAAGCCTTAATGATGGAGAAAGTACGATTTTTTTGTTTCTGTTAAGTTACAGGATTGATGTCTTTGTCACAATATGCCTGAAGATGAAGTGAAAGTCGCTCAGTTGTGTCCAACTCTTTGCATGGACTCAATACAGTCCATGGAACTCTCCAGGCCAGAATACTGGAGTGGGTAGCCGTTCCCTTCTCCAGGGGATCTTCCCAACCCAGGAATTGAACCGGGGTCTCCTGCATTGCAGGCAGATTCTTTACCAGCTGTGCTACCAGGGAAGTCCTACAACATGGCTGAACCATGCACTAAAGGTGTTTCCGAGAGCCTGGCTTCCAGACCCTTCCTTGCAGGCGCAGGGGCCACGCAGGAGCCCTGGGAGCCAGGCTCCCTGCTCGTTCCTGCCCACAGTGGGCATGCGGCCCCTGACCTTCTTTGCTTTCACTTTCAGGCTTTCAATTATTTTATCAAACTCTTTTTGATGTTTATACGAATGAAGTAAAGTGAAGTGAAAGTCGCTCAGCTGTGTCCCCATGAGACCCCATGGACTATATATAGTCCATGGAATTCTCCAGGCCAGAATCCTGGAGTGGGTAGCCTTTCCCTTCTCCAGGGGATCATCCCAACCCAGGGATGGAACCCAGGTCTCCCACATTGCAGGTGGATTCTTTACCAGCTGAGCCACGGGGGAGCCTTACATGAATAACCAGCAGTATAGATAGGCAGTTGCCCATGAGTTACTTCATCTTCTCCCCCGAAAATAACTGGACACTCACAGCCCATTTAAAACATTGGGAGAACTTTCTAGATTTGTGGCTGGCCTCCTGCTGCCTTAGGACAGCTGTCTAGCTGCATAAAACACTCCATTTGCTCAAACACGCAGATAAACTCTGATATTACTTCAGCTTCATCCTTTCCAGCCTGACGAAGTAAGTAAAAATCTTCCTCTGTCCTTCATTCTGCACGTCATCTTTTAAACTAATTATCAAGATGTTCTTGTGCTTCACGTGGGGCCCGAGGCCTGGCTGGACAGCAGCGGCTGTGCCCCTCTGCCCGTCTTGCTGAGCACAAGAGGTGATGGGGGTCAACTCATGCCCCAGCGCAGGGATACGGCCCCAGGGGTGGTGAGGGGCGTGGGAGTGCTCCAAACCCCAAAGCCAGTTGGTGATGCACCATCCAGCCTCATGGGTGGGGGTTTCTTTGCCGAAGGTCAGTGGGCACTTCTGAGGACCACACAACCTGCGGTGACCAGCCCAAGCCAGCCTGCAGGCTCCAGGCAGAGTGCGTCAGCCTCAGCGGGACCAGGGGTGGGCGTTAGAGCCAGAGACAGCGGGATGCCCGGCCCCGCCCCCCGCCCAGGCCAAGACCACCGGGGCACTCACCTCAGGGAGCCCAGGCAGCTGCCATTCAGCTTCAGCTGGCTGAGGTTGGGCAGGTGCAGCCCTGCGGGGCACAGGGGGAGAGCTCAGCACCGGCCCTGCCGCCCTGGCACCCTTCGGCGACACCAGTGCCCCTGGTTCCTGCTGCCTGTAGCTGCTGAGGCCCAGGGTGGCCTTGGGGCCACATGCTGACGCCTGAGGCCCTGCTCGAATGAGGCAGGCCAGGGTGTACAGAGTGCCTCGAGTGGGCAGGGCCACACAGGAGGCCATGGAAGCACTGGATTCTGGTGGGAGGGGTCCCGGCTGGCATCCTCGCACCGAGCATGGGTCTTGCCCCTAGGCCACTCCTGCGACTGGCCCCTGGGCCCTGCAGGCATAGCCAGGCCAGAACCTCCATCGGCTCACATTCTGGGCTCTAGAGCAGGGGACCCTGGGGCCCCGGGATGGGGCTCTGAGTCAGGACTGCCTCGAAGAACAGGACACTGACAGAGTCTCTGTCCTCAGTCCCTGGAGAGAGGTGTGCAGGGCGGGCCGTGAGGAGTGGGGGGGTCCAATGACCAGGGCTGGCGGGCAGGGTCCGAGTAGGCAGACCCTCCAAGTGCAGCCTGGCCGGGATGATGGTGGGTGTGTGGGGAGGGGCTCTCACCGAAGCTCCCCAGGCTGTTCTCACGGGTGTTGACACACATCTCCAACATGCTCACCAGTTGGAGGTCATCCTCCTGGGCCAGGGCCTGCTGCAGGGGTCAGGGGCATCAGCCCTGGAACCTAGACAGTAGTCACACCCCCTCCACCCCACCCTCCCAGTGAAACTCCTGCTTTTGGCCACAAGGCTGGAGCAGGTGCGGGCATTTCCCTGCCTCACCCACGTCAACTCCAGCCACGATCAGCTCTGGCTGGACCATAAGTGTGATGTAACAAGAGTGGAGATCGTGACCCTGTGTGGCTGGTGGGGCCATTGCCAGAGAAGGGCCTGCCCTGGGGGGGTCCTCACCCTAATGAGACCCACGGAACAGCCCCAGTGCAGCTCTGGGCCTGAAGCTCAGCCCCGCTGAGCACGGCCAAGCCCTAGCTTCCCTCACACCCGTGGACAGTATGCTTAGACTGTAAGCTGCTGAGTTTGGGGACTGTTTGTTATGCAGCATCACTATAGCAATAGCTGACTTATACAAAACTTGAGACCTAGATGCAGCTCCAATAGCTGCCATAACAAACACAGTGAAGCGCCGTGGACTGAGCACTGGCAGCAGGGGTGGGGCTGAGGGGTTCCTAACATGAGTGTTACTAAAACTGGAAAGATGGAGACACAGATCATGTGATGATGCAATTTTTTGGTAAAAAGGGTTTCCAGTAGAAACCTGGCTGGCAGAAGATGCACACAGTGAACTTGTGATGGTGGGTAGAGAGGTGCCCAGCAAGATGTGGGCAGAGTGAACTGGCCACAATTCACTGTGTTTGATGAGTGCCTGCAGGAGGCAAAGTTCAGCTGGAATGGGGAGAGCCCAGGAGTTCTGAGACCTGTGGCTCGAAAAATACAATGGCTTCTCAACTCAAATCAGTGAAAAGAAAAAGGAAGAAAGGCTTGGAGTTAGAAAGACCCCGTGAGATTCGGCCTCAGGGAGAAGCCGGTTGCCAGGCACTTGTTGCCCATGGGTGGCTCTAGGAGGACCAAGGCCTGAGATCCCTGGCTCCAGTGATCGAGTCTGCAGAGACAGAAATGCTCCAGCAGCCACCAGTGGAATGGCTTGGGCGTGGTGGGCACTGATACAAGTGCTAGGAATCATGCTTGCTGAGGGCCACGGCCTGGACCGAGGTTAACCGTGGCTGTCAGAGACCAGGAGTCCGGGCTTCTCTCACACAGGCGGTGAGTCTCCCCAGCCAGAAGCCAGGTGGAGGATGGGCAGTTCCAGGGTGGGAGGGGTGGCCCTGGTCCAGGCACCCGCCCAGCGCAGGGGCCGGTACGGCAGCTGGCCTGACGTGATGGGTCCACGCTGGACCCAGACCTTGGGCGCTGCTGTGCTGCAGGCCCGGCTGGAGGGCAGACACACAGGGGCCACGGGGGCGGGGGGCCCGCAGGAGTGTCCTGTCCAGACAGTGTGAGCCCTCGAGTTGGTTGGAAAGGCGGTGGGGTCCTGGGGCGCCCAGGCTTCCTTCTGCAGAGGTTTGGTGGTTGTGTCACCCCAGGGTCGCCAAGGGTCCCCTCCCATTTGCCTTTCACATGGGTGCAGGTGTGTGTGGGGGTGCAGGGGCACTGGACCCCATGGAGCCCTCAGCATGGCCAACCATGGGCGGGTGAAGGGTGTGGCCAGGAAGGGGAGGGGCCCGATTGCCAGGAGGGCAGGGCTGCACTGGGGTCGCCAGGGGAGAGCCCTAAGTCAGAGGATCTGCAGAGCCTGCGGGGCCTCAGGGTGGGGGGCAGGAGTGCCATGAGCACCCCAGGTTTGGGAGAAAGGCTTCCACAGCTGGATCAGCGGGGCACCGAGACACCCCGCTGGAGCAGCCCCCCCGCTGCCTGCTGCCTCCTCTGCTCACAGCTCGTGAAGTCTGCGTGCTGTGCGCTCCGGGGGCCTGTCACCCTGTCTTCCACAAGGACAGGGGCCCTTCTATCTGGTTCAGGGTCCCTGGAGCCCCAAGCACAGCAAATCCGTGGAAGGGCCTGGCTTGGGCCCTTCTGGCCTGAATGCCGAGAGACTTCCGGGTAGGCCCCGGGGGGGAGCAGGGGTCCAGGGGGCTGAGGGCATCTGGCAGCCAGCTGAGCCCAGCCCCACACTCACCAGCCTGGCGGGTGACAGGCACTCCTCTGCCAGCTGCCCGCTGTGGCCGTGCTCACAGTGGCCTGGGGCCTTACTCCGAGGCTGGGGGTTGTGCAGGCTCTGCGAGCTCAGCTCCCGCACTTGGACGCTGGCTGTGCTTGGCCGAGGCCCGCAGGCTCCATCCCAGGCCTGGTCCATTCACACCCAACCTGCCGGGTGCAGGAAGAGGGCAAAGCCGGTCAGCCTCTGCTCCTCCTCTGATCCACAGCCCAGCCGAGGCCCTGCAGAGCCGCTGCCAGGTCTGCACACACAGCAAGCCCCCCGAGCCCCTCTCTGGCCCAGAGAAGGCCCGACAATGAAGTCAGGGTCTGCCTGGGCCCTTATGGTCTGTCCCTCAGCCTGGGCTCACACCCCGGCCTGGGCAGGCAGTCCTCCAGATGCCTCTGCCCATCCTTCAGGGTCCCGGGGGCTGCTGGCACCGGCCTCCCCCCCTGGAGCCCCACGGAGGCCGCGAGCCTGGGCCGCTGCCTTCAGGCCGTTTGCTCCTCTGCCACTGGGAGCAGCAGCCAGCTCTGCCTCGGGCCTCGTGTTGTCCTCCACCAGCGGTCTCTGAGCCTGGGGCCTTCAGGACCCGGGTCTCGGGCACTGCCTCCCACCCCTGTGCCCACCAAACCCCCTCACCAGGAGGCTGCTGCCTTTTCCCACCGTGGGTCAGACATCTGGGCAAGAGGGTGGCATGTGGCCCCAGGCGGCACCTGTGAGAGACTCCTGGTCAGGTCACCGTGCTCGAGGGGCCTGAGACAGGCTGGGCCAAGGTCACAGGGCTCAGAGTGAGCAGGCGCAGAGGCAGCGGGGCTGTCAGCCTGGGCCCTGGCCCTTAGGTCCTTTCAACCATCCTGGCCTGGCTGATGGGGGAAGACAGCCATGTGGGTGACCGACACTGGGGTCCCTCTGGGTCCCTCCAACGCAGATGCTTTATCTTCATTCAAATCCCCAGTTCCCTCCATCCTCAACTCCACTCTCTCCAAAAGGGGTGCCCAGCCTGTTGCTCTGGCCCATCCCCTGTGGGCTGGTCTCCCAAGGACCCTGCTCATGTTGGTGTTACCCCCCAGGGCGCAGAGGAGGGGGCCCACCTGCAGCAGCCTCAGCTGGCATTGCCCCTTAAAGACCCAGCTGCCTGTACCCGGCCCCAGACCCAGGAATCATCTCTGTGAGTAGAGCCAGAAGGCTGTGTGGACCATCTTGGCTACTTCCGTCCATAGGCTCAGGGCGTCACTGGCCCCCACGCCTGTGCTCCCTTCCCTCTTCCTGAACTTACTCCCGTAAGACTGAGTCCCTCCTGCAGCCCTAGGTGTTTTATGACTCATTCAGCAGAGTGAGTGCCTTGTCCGAGACAGTGTGGGTCCTGTGCAGGCAGAACCTGGCTCACCTGCCATGTCCAGTATGCAGAGCAAAGGCTCTGGGACATTCCCCCCACAACTGCTTTTGTCTGTCAGCCCCTGTGGGCGGTCACGATTCATCCTCCACATCGTGTCTAGAACCACCCACCCCGGCCGGGGCGGTGGGGGGTGTCAGCTGGGCTTTGCCAGAGACGGTGGCAGGGAGTGGTGGGCCTTGGAAGAAGTTGCCTGGGCTACCAGGTGCCCTTGTGTGAAAAGTGACCACACAACAAAGACCCAAAGAGGGGAAGCCATGCAGAGGAGTCTCAGGGAAGAGATTCATGAAATTTCTGGCCAGGATTTCTTTCCAAAAGTTCCTATGCTGCCCCCTTTTCTCCAGCTGGTGAAAGGCCCCGAGTCTCAAAGGACGACCCCAGCACCAGGCCCCCTGGGAAGATGCTGCCCCTCCCCCCGAGATGCCAGCCTGGGGCTCTGGGAAAGGTCTGGGCTGGCCAGGTTGCAGCTTGGGAAGCCAGTGGGCCATCCTCTTCCCTCTGTGCCTGAGAGCAGCTGACCAGAGGTCCTGCCCATGACCTGGCCCAGGGTATGGTCTTGTTTATCCAGAGGTCCTGCGGTCCAATGAGCAGGGCCTGGGTAGGAGGCTGAGGCTCTCGAGACACTGTCCCCTCACGTCCACTCGCTGGCCTCGACCTGTCCACTCTGTTCACAGCCTTGATCCCCTCCTGCCCTGCCACTCCCTGAGGCCCCAAGCTGGAAACCTGGGGGCCTTTCTTCCTCTATGGCGCAGGCGAATGCCAGCTTCTGGCTGGACTCACCGCCTCTCTCGGTCCCCTCCACCTGCCACCCGTTCTGAGGTCAGGGTTTGTGGTTCCTCCTGTCCTGGTGACCTCAAGACCCTCAGCAGAGCCAGGGATTGTGGGATGGGACCCAGGGAAGCAGATTTGACATCTGGGGCATCACAGGGACCCCCCTGTCGTGTCGTTTTGCCACGGGGAAAACTGTGGCCCTGCGGCCCCAGACCCAAAGGCGCTCTGGTCTCACCTGACGGGGTCGGCCCCCGTGCCCCGGCCGAGGCCCCGGGCGCCCTCCTCGCCGGGCGCTCCCTTCCACTCGGTAGTTCTTACGGCCGCGGGGTTGAGGGGCCTGGGCGCCAAGGCAACGGGGGCGGGGCCTCAGCTGAATTTGCAAATATTCATGAGCCACGGGAATCCTTAGGCTCCGCGCGGCCGAGCCACGCCCCTTAGCGACGGTTGCTGGGGCGCGCGGAGGGGGGGGGGCAACCCGGTTGCTGGGTTTGCGCTGGTCTCGCCCCCCGCGCGCGGGAGGGCCCCTCCCACAAGGAGGGACTCTGGGGAGAGGAGACGCGGTATAGCCCGCGGGACGCAGACGAGCCCGGGGTCTGCACCCACAAAGGTGGTGTGGGGTGCAGACTCGCGCCCACATTTCTCAGGTGGGAGGCGCCCCTGTCGGGCTGTCCCTGAGACCAGGGCCCTGCAGGGCTTACCTCCGCCTGCTTGTGTGGCCCACGCCACGACAAAAGGACCCTCTGAAGACGAGGGAACTGCAGACCTGGACACCTGGAGGGGAGTCGGGAGTGTCCGCGCCGGCGAGGGGCGCGGCCACCGCTGTCATTTATACGCCTTTACTGCGCGTCTACGCGCGTCAACCGGACACGTGGGGTTGGTTGGCGCCGTGCTGGAGGCGGGAGCGGCCCCCAGGGGCCCGCCGGGATCGAGGCCAGCAGCGGGATGAGCTCCCGGGAACTGCGCGGAGCAGGGGCGGAGGGGGCCGAGAGGCGCGGAGGGTGGAGTTGCCAGCTAGTGCCGGAGGGGCAAAGGTCTGGGCTCACGTGAGACGCACCGTTCTTTCCTGTAAATACGGAGGATGTTTTTATGCTTTACTGTAAAAATTTTTTTAATGTTAAAAACATACATTTCTGAGCGTCTGTAAAGGAGAAACAATGTGCACATTTACGCTTGGGGTGCGGTAGACTTCAGTTTAGCCCCCCATAGTTACTTCGGGGGTGGATTTGCTGGGTACGGGTTATTAGCTGAGATTCCGCAGGGCTGGGACCTGGCGCTTCGGGGAAGCTCGGTGGGGAGGTAGTCTGCAGGGGCTGCCCAAGTTTTGGGAGGCTGGCGGTGATGCTCGTCGGAGCTGCGCGCTACGTAAGCGAGAAGCAAGACCCTGGGCACTGGCTGGAAACACAGGGCCGGACTCGCCGTTCTGCGGGCTCAGACGTCCCCGCCCAGGCGAGGCGCCCATGCGCCGCCTGGCCTAGGGCGCAAGGCCGAGCCGCTCCCAGGACCCCGCGGAAGCTGCCAGGAGCCCCTCCCGGAGCCACCTGAGCCTAACCCTCGTCTGGGCAGCCCCTCCGCCCTTCTGCGGCCTCAGGTCAGGGGCATCCGCGGGGCTGACGACGCGGGCTCCTGCGTCCCTGAGACTCAGCCCTCGGGCTGTCGCCTCCTTTCCGGGCCCTGCGTGGGGCGGCGCGGACCCGGGCCGGGGGAGGGGTAGGCGCAGCGGTGCCCGGCGGGGGTGCCCTGGGTCCAGCGCGGGGCTCCGGGAGCAGCGCCCCGCCCCAGTCCACACTAGGCCGCAGACTCGCCTAGCCACGGGGTCTCTATCTCCCCACGAGGCCCGCCTGCTCCCAGGAAACCCCGGGCCTCCCTCGGGGATGCCACCCCCCGGGGCCCATGCTCCGAGCAGCCAGCCCCGAAGGCCTCGGCCCGCGCCGGCCGCCGGAGCCGGCACCGCCCTCGGAACTGCTCCCGGAAGCCCCGCCCGGCCGGGGCTCTGACGGGCGGGCCTCTCGGCCAACCGGGGCGGGACGAGGCGGGGCCCGGCGCGCTCGGTCAATCGCAGGCCGCGCCGGGCTGACGGACGGGCGTGGGGCGGGGCGCGCGCGGCCGGGTCGAGTGTCCGCCGCCCGCCGCCGGAGCCGCACCCGCCGCGGACGGAGCCCATGCGCCGGGCTAGCCCCGAGCCCCGGCCCTGGCCCCTGCCGCCGCCCCCGCCCCGGCCCCGTCCCCGGGGGCAGTCGCGCCAGTGAGCGGTGAGTGCGGCGGGAGCGGCGGGCCGGGCGGGGGGGGCCTGCTGTCCGCGCCCGGCGCGCGGGGGCGCAGGTGAGCCGCGGGCGGCGGCGGGCGGGGCGCTGCGGTTTGGGCTGCGGGAGGCGGCAGGTTCGCTCCGCCTCGCCCCGGCCAGCACCTCCGGCTCCATGTCCCGGGCACGGCCTTATGGGCTCCGCTAGTGACTTGGGTGTCCGCGAGCAGAAGCGCTAGACGGGGTCTTCCACCCGCTGGAGCCCCACGGGCCCCTCCGGAGAGCTCGGGCATCCGGCGGCCATCACACACGCCCGGCGAACCAGGGGTTTAGAAAGTCACTGCCCGAGGTCCCCGCAAGGGCGCCCCTTCTTTAAGCATCACAAACCGGTGACCCCCCCAGCTGGGGGCCTAGGGCCCAGGCCCTCTCCCTTTCTCACCTGTCCCCTCGAGCCCACACCTCTTTTGGGTCTTTTACTGTGATCTACTTCCTGGAGCCCCGGCCCCCTGCCCACCTCCACACCTGCTTTATATTCTCCAAAGTTCTGGCAGTGGGACCCGTGGGTTTATGTGGACTTTTCCCTTGGAGTGTAGCCCAAACCTGCCACGGCAGGGGTTCTTTCTGTCACCGTGTGCCTGGAGCGGCACCTGGCATGCAGTAGGTGCTTACTGAATACTTGTCAAATGCACCAGCATGCCCTGGGGGGAGGGCTGGAGCGGATTGTCGGTTGCCACCAACCTGTCTGGGCACGCTGCTGTGCCCGCCACTGTGGCAAGACCTGTTCTCGTGGGGGTGCTGGTAACCTCAGCCCACAGCGCCTCGAGTTCAAGCTTTTTGCCTACCCAGCAGCTTCTAATTCGGGTACATGCTTGGGAGATGCTCCCAGCTGCCAGCCCTGCCTCTAAGGGGTCGGCTTCTTGCTTTTCTCACGCAGTCATTATAAAGTGCAGCTGGAGGCAAGACTCCCTCCCATCTCTGGGCTGGAGGTGCCACAGGCGAGCGACTGGACCACCACTCTGGCTGCTGCCCCTGTCCCCTGGATGTGTAGGCCCAGAGGGCAGGCCGGACCTGGGCAGGCTGGTCCAGGGAGCCCCCTGCACCCACCCTGCATGGTTCGGCCATGCTGAGTGTGGCTTCCTCGGCAGGTGGGACCGGAGATCACTGCAGCGCCTCGTGCCACGGTCATCGCCTCGAGGAGTGATGACGGAGTATAAGCTCGTGGTGGTGGGCGCCGGCGGCGTGGGGAAGAGCGCCCTGACCATCCAGCTCATCCAGAACCACTTCGTGGATGAGTACGACCCCACCATCGAGGTGAGCCTGCCTGGCTCTTGTCCGCTGCTTGGCTCCTGATGTGGGCTTAACTCGCACCTCCTCTGAGGAGGGGTCCCCACGTCACAGGTCCCCGGAGGTGGGGGGCTAGAGAGGAGCAAGGGAGGTCCCCCCTCCCCGGGAGGGCCAGCTCTTTCTGAACAATGTCGTCTGCAGGACTCCTATCGGAAGCAAGTGGTCATCGATGGGGAGACATGCCTGCTGGACATTCTGGACACGGCGGGCCAGGAGGAGTATAGCGCCATGCGGGACCAGTACATGCGCACCGGGGAGGGCTTCCTCTGCGTGTTTGCCATCAACCACGCCAAGTCCTTCGAGGACATCCACCAGTACCGGTGAGCTGCCCGCTGGCCCTCAGGGGCCCGGCCCTCTCTGCGGCCTGGGTGCAGCCAAGCCTGTGGGCCGCCTGCCGGCTCAGCCCTTCCTCCTTGCAGGGAGCAGATCAAGCGGGTGAAGGACTCGGATGACGTGCCCATGGTGCTGGTGGGGAACAAGTGCGACCTGGCCGCGCGCACTGTGGAGTCTCGGCAGGCCCAGGACCTCGCCCGCAGCTATGGCATCCCGTACATCGAGACCTCCGCTAAGACCCGCCAGGTGAGCCCGGCCCCTGCCCCGCAGCCAGCCAGGGCCCCGCCCCGCCCGTCCGCCCGGGACAGGGCTCACTGCCCCCTCTCCCTCGACGCAGGGCAGCCGCTCTGGCTCTGGCTCCAGCTCCGGGACCCTCTGGGACCCTCCGGGACCCCCGTGACCCAGCCGCCCCTCTCGCTGTAAGTCTCCCCGGATGGCAGGGCAGCGAGGGAGGCCAGGGCCCGGGTCTGGGCTGAAACAGCTCCCAGGGGAGGTGGAGGTCCCTGGAGAGAGCTGCCCTGAGCCAGACCGGAGCGGTGACCCTGGGGCCCCAGCCCCTGTGCCCCCAGAGCGCCCTGTGAGTCCCAAGGGGCCCCGAAGACTCAGTGGGCTGTTGGGGAGCGGCTGAGGACAGGCCTCCCAACGAGGCAGCCCTGGGGCCCAAGGCAGGCAGGGCCCGGCTCCCCGTCTGTGGGGTGGGGAAAGGGCTGGGGTTCTGCTCCCGGCTGAGGCGGTGGTCCCGCCCTGAACTGGGCCCTCTTCCTAGGGCGTGGAGGATGCTTTCTACACCCTGGTACGCGAGATCCGGCAGCACAAAGCGCGCAAGCTGAGCCCACCGGATGAGGGCGGCCCCGGCTGCCTGAGCTGCAGGTGCCTGCTCTCCTGACGGTGGCGCGGGCGCGGAGCGCTGGGTGCCACGCAGGAGGCGGCACGGCGGGGACGGAGGGAGATGCCGCCAGAGCCCGGCCCCCCACGTCGGCGGACGGAGTGCCTACGGGCCTCCCGGGACGCTTCGCACAGACTCTGGTGAACTGATGCACTGGCCCCCAGCCTCGCTCTCCTCAGCCCCGTCCTGGCCCAGCGGGCGCAGGCCCAGTCGCAGTAAATTATTTCATGGTCTTGACCTGGCGTTTGCCTGAGGCCAGGAGGCCGTGGCGCGTGTGGCCTCCCAGGAGGTAGACGGGAACCACAGCTTCATCCGGGTGGTGGCTGCCCCGCCTCTGGGGGCCCCTGGCGTGTTTGGCGGAGCTCTCGGTGCAGCCAGAACCAGCCACCTGACACATGGGAGTTTGTCAACCTTTAATCAGCACAGGGGGAGGGGATCTGAGACCAGAGACTGTCCGTGCAGGTCGGGGAGGAGTGGGCCCCTGGGGCGGATCTTGGGGCACTGCCTGGTTCTGCTGTGGTGTCCTGGCCCTGCGAGGGGCGCTGGCTGCAGGCGCCACAGGGCAGGGGGGCATTCTGAGCCCAGCGCCGTATCTCCAGCAGGCTGGGCGGAGCTGGTGGCTGGGGTTGGCCCAGGCAGGAGCCGAAGGGGAAGGGACCCGCATTCTGCCTCAAAGCAGGCGGCCATTTGCCTGTGGCCTCTTGGTTCACCGGGAGGTCTGAGAGGGAATTACATCACTGGGGCCGCTGTGCTTAGGGTGGCCCTGGGCTGAGGACAGACAGGCCAGACACGGAGCCCCCGGGGCCAGAGGGAGGCCTGTGGCTGTGGCCCCCTTCATGCTGCCGCTGCTTGGTCTTCGGGCCTGGCGGGGCAGGGTCCAGGCTGCTTGTGCTGGGCAGGTGGGCCAGGGAGGGCCAGCCTGTCTTCTCCGGGGAGTGTCTTGATACTGGGAGGGGTAGGGGGGTCTGGGGGCCAGATTCCGCCGCTCACTGGAAATGGACAGACCGGGTCGGCTTCCCCACCAGGCCGGGTGACCTATGCAGGGTGGGCCTGTGAGGCCTGCGTGGCTGCCCCGGCCCGACACCGGGAACCGCCCTCCAACCCGCTGGCCTCTGCAGGGGCTGACGCTGCCCAGCCCTGGCCAGGTTGGCTGAGTCTTAGAGCAGAGGAGCAAACAGATGGGGTGAGGAGGAAGCCCCGGGACCCCCACCCCTCACCACCCCGGGGTAACTCGGGACCTCTGCTGAGCCTGCTTGGGCGGGGGGAGGTCACCTTTCATCCTGTGCAGCTCAGCCATCGAGAGGCCTGCAGGGCCCAGCCTGGGGACAGCGTGTCCTGCAGGAACTCCTGCAGGTCTTCCAGGGGCGGCTTCCGGAGGGGTTCTGGGGGGAGGGTGCCGTCAGGCCAGCGGGCGCCCCCCCAGAAGGCCCAGCCCCCCACCCTGGAGCACCGCCTGTGAGCAGTGGCGTGTTCCGCTGTGCGCCACGCCTGGGGGTCCAGCCGTGCCCAGGGCGGGGCAGGGTCAGAGGGCGCGCTCCGGGCCGGTGGGCTGGGTGGCTCCCCACGGCCTGCTCACTCCACATGGGCCACTGGCTTTGTGTACCTGAGGGCCTGTGGCCGTGAGCGCACGCTCGCTCTCCAGGATGTAGGTGTCTCCAGGCTTCGTGGTGACGACAAGGGGGCCTGTGCGGACAGCAGGCCCAGCAGGGTCAGCTTGAGCAGGGCACGGCGGGGGTCACGGCACAGGGTATGAACCCCCAGTGACCTCTGGCCCCTGCAGTCCCCGGGGCTGCAGCACGCCAGCTCCTGGAGCTCCTCATCCTGGGGCTTGTCCTGGTCCAAGTGAGTGCCAGCACTCAGGACTGAGGGGCAGTTCTGCAGGTCATCCCCCCAGCAGGGCAGCACACTGGCTTGCCTGCTCCCAGCTGACCCAGCCTTCCTGATGGGAGCCCCACGCCTGCAAGGGGGGCTCTGGACTGCCCTTGGACACCCTCTGGTGGCGGAGGGGCCCCCTCTCTGGGCTTCCCAAAGGGGCAGGAGCCCAGTCAATGAAGCCCTGTAGGAACCGCTCGGTGGTGTGGATCCCTGTGGACGGCTGCTCCTCGTGACGGGCAGCATGGGGGTCAGGCCTGCCTCGGGGCCGGAAGCAGCCCTATGTCCGGGCCCAGGACCCCCAAGGCTGGGGGGACGTGCTGCCGCGGGCCTTCCCCAGCCCCCTGCCCCACGGGAAGAATGAAGCCACAGTAGGCCCGGCGGCCAGGGTGGTGGGGGGACAACCTCTGGGGGATGCGTCTGCGCGCTCCTTCGGCTTGGGGGGGCCCTGCCGAGAGCGAGCTGGTGGCGGGCCTGGGATCGTGGCAGTTTTGGGAACCCTGTATGAAGAAGCCTGAGAAGCCCCCAGACCCCACAGGTAAGGGCTGCCCCCATCGAGAGTCAAGTGCCGCCCTGACCCCGGCCCTCGGGGCCTCTCAGTCCTGGCTGGACACGCTCTTCCCAAGGAAGACGCCCTCCCTGTGGGGCCGAGGCTGGGGCGACGCCCCTTGGCCCAACTCTGTGCCATCCTGGGCTGAGGGTGGACTGGGGCCCGGCCCTGGCACGTGTCCCCCCACAGCGACCACAGCAGGGCTTCCGGAACCGAGGGGCGGGGAGTGTGGCCCATGGGGTGGCCGATGGGTGCGTGCTTGGTCATCTGCTGGGCCTAGGAGTCAGGCTAGGCACCGGGGCCACCTGGGCTCCATCTGGCTGTGGCCTCGGAGGGCACTGGGCACCTGGCGGGCGTGAGGCAGGGAGGGGGGAGCTGTCTGGGTGAGGCCAGGCTGGGGACCCAGAGCGCAGCGTGGGGAGCCAGTGCCCTTCACTGATAGGAAGATGGGCTTGGCTGGGTCCCACCAGCCCTGCTGCCGGGGGAGCTCTCCAGGGAGACTCCTGGCTCTGGGGCGCACCCAGCAGTCCAGGGCAGTCACCTACCATGCACGGCCTGCTTCTCCTCAGTCACAAGCTGGACCAGTGCCAGAAGCTGTTTTCCTTGCCCAAGAGCATCAGCTGGATGGCCACAACCTGGTTCACGCCAGGCTCTTGGAAGAGCCAGACACACGGGGAGGGCTACCCAGAGGCCTCCCTGGCTCCTGGACGGGCTCCCGGCCAGCAGAGCTCACCCTGGAGGGGCCACCTGAGACGCCCTCCGGACTGGTGCAGGGGCCAGCCCGCTGTCTGGGTCCCCTCTGAGATGAGGTGAGTGGGGCAATGGGAACCTCCTGCCGTGAGGGCAGGCTGGGGGCTTCACCTGGGAAGGTACATGTCCAGGGGCTGGCCCAAGACCCCACGGTGGGCAGTCCCTGGTGTCCACTCAGCTAGTGTTCCTTGAGGTAGTGTTCTGGAAATAGCCAGGCAGAGGGAGAGCTGCCTCCTTGGGGGCCCTACACGCATCTGGGTTCCTGGGAACTTTCGTTCCTGCTGAGCTTCTGGTGAATGATGCGGCATTTTCAGGATCAAAAGTCACGTTTCACAACAGTGATGCTTATTTGGCCCTGAGCTCACTTGTAATGGAACGTTTCCCCTAGCAGCCCTGCCAAGCATGGGGTCGTTCCAGCCAGGAGTTGGGTACCTTTCTGTCCTGAAAGGCAGGGTCTGCACCCAGTGTTTCTGCCTCAATCTGAGATCGGGGACCCCTGCACCACCTCTGTGACCATGTGCACCTGAGTTCTGACCAGCTCGGAGATGCCCCTGGGCTGGGCAGGGCCTGGGGGCAGGGGTACTCCCGGGTCGTGTGTGGAGCAGGCCTCCAGCGTGTGGACCAGGGCTTGCTGTCTGGGGAAGGGACACGGAGTGCGTGTTTCCCACTGATCTTCATTTCATACTGTCTGACAAACCCTCGTGACAAAATAGGTGTGTTTAAGAAATAAGCCAAAAAAGCAGTGAAGTCGCACTTCCGTGTTAAACGTTTTCCAGGGGTAAAGCCCACATGCAATGACATTCAAATATCCCAGGTGTACAGTTTGACAAGATTTTATTGTTTCAGCTTGCACACATTACAGTTCAGTCTCTGGGAAGGCAGCCCCTTGGGTTTTTGCACACTGAGGGGTGGACACATCCACACTTTGACCTAAGCTCCCCACCCATGAGCCCCAGCAGCCGCTAACACTTGTCCTCCCGGAGCTATGCCTTTTCCAGAAGGTCCTATGAGTCGATTCACAGGTGGGGCTGGATTACTTTTAAGATGCACAGGTCCTATTGTGTGAGTCAACATCCTGTTCCACTTGATGGAACCCCATGGTGTATCCATCCCCTTGTGGAGGAGCATCTTGGTTGCTTCCAGTTGTTAATGATCACGGATAGAGCAGTGAAAGTTGCAGGTTTTATGTGGAGGTGAGGTTTCAGCTCATCTGGGTGAGTACCAGGGAGCGTGACGCTGATCATGTGGTGAGGGCGAGTGCACTTGGTGAGAAGCTGCCCGGCCACCTCCACTGTGACTGCGCGTCCGCCCCCCGCCCGTGCTGGATGCTGTCCCCATACACGTTGTTTCTTACTCTGCACGAGTCCTTTATTAGATTTATGATTGGTGAATATTTTCTCCCTCCCTGGAGCTTTCTGTTTCATTTTAACAGTCTGGTGCAGAATTAAATTTTACGTGTAGATACAGTTCTGTCTCTCATAGGCGTCTTCTCTCTCACCTGACCGGCCTCTCCCCTAGTGCCCATGGCCTCGCCCTGTCCTGACATTCTGGTTTCTAATGCCACATGTGAGGCCCCTGGGGAAGGAACATGGGGAGCTTGTTTCATGCTGATCTTTATCACAAAGAAGCCAGAGGTTTAAGATGGAGCCAGCAGTTGGCACACGGCCACGCCCCCTGTGTCTCCAGCAGGTTGTGTGCTCAGACAGCAGGGGCTAGGCCCTAGGTCTAGGATACTTACCAGCTGGCCCACTCCAGGAGAACTCATTCTGTGGCCAGGCCTGCGGGCTGGCAGGGGTGGCGGGGACAGCGGGGCCAACCAGGCTCGGCC